AGGACCTCACCTCGCTAATATCGTTAAGGAGCCCAGGATGCGGCGCACAAACTGAGTGTGATATCTTTATATTGAGCTTCAACCGGCTTCAATGCTTCTCATTAGACAGCGCAAAGTCAACGCCAAAAGTGCAGCACTCCCTGTTTAAGAAAAGTCGGCAACAGCTGCGGACGGGTATGCACAGCTGATGCATACTCTTCAAATTGCTGAATTGCTCTCTATGAGAAATATTAAATTGAACTCGAATTGCTTTAGTCGTAATTTGAGTTCGTTTATTAGGAAAGGTTAGGAGTAAGATAATTCTAATGGGCTATATTAGAATTAATTAATTATTAATATAATGAGGATCAATATTTACAGAAGCTTCATATTATAATTCAGTCGTCTTTCACATTGATGTTCCGTTGAGTATCGTAGCGTTCAGCTTTTGTCATGCAGCTGCCTTCACTCTATTTTTTGCCACATTCACTAAAAGAGTTTGCCCACATTTACAGAGATATTCTTAAGGCCACGTCATTTATTTAACGAGCAATTATGATGAATATTTCAAATAGTTTCAGTCATTGGCATTGATGCACCTTATTCGAGTGTCATAGCATTCATCTTTTGTCATGCATCCACCCTAACCCAAGTTTCAAGTTTTGATTTTGTCACATTCACTAGAAGAGCTAGTACAGTTACATAATCATTCATTCCAAATAAAGAAATAAAATAAACATATCAATATTTACAAAAGCTTCACATTATTATTCAGTCTTTCACATTGATGTTCCGTTGAGTATCGTAGCATTCAGCTTTTGTCATGCAGCTGCCTTCACTCTAGTTTTTGCCACATTCACAAAAAGAGTTTGCCCACAGTTTCAGTGACATTCATTCATTAGCCTACGTCGTTTATTTAGCGAGCACTTATGATTAATATTTCTATAAGTTTCCTAGATGAACCATCGATCGAGTGTCATATAATTTAGCTTCTGTCATGCAGTGTCAGAGCATTTATAATAAACCATCATTTCTAATGTCATGCTTAGAAAAGTTTGGCAAAAGCATTTTATAATAAATATAATAACAAAAATTAAACAAACTAAAGTGAAGTAAATTTAAAAAATCTATAAAAAATGTAATAAAGTAAAGTACAAATATGTTATTGTTGCTGAAGTAAATAAACTTCGCAATGATTTCAAGTAAATTGCTTTTGTTATGTTTTCTTTAAATTAAAAGCGAAATATATGAAATGCCGCGCGAGTTCATGAGGAAGCAAAACAAACAGCTCAGGCGGCGGGCATCCCTTGATGATTGATCACAGCAGGTGTATAACAGAGAGGTGGGTGTATAACAGAGAGTAAGTGACTTGCTGGTTTGGGGGCCTTGGGTTGTGGGTAGGTGGATTGGGGGAGTAACAAATTCATGCGAGTCAAGGACCCGGCGAGGCCTCGAAAAGCGTTGAGGGAACTTGCTTTTGGGTGCAAGATTTGAGCAATTATTTTGGGAGGGGGCTGAGCGGCAAAGGGGCTCAAGGATAATGCACTTAAGCCACGGTTACCTGCTACGGATTGTACAAGCTACCGTTACTCAGCTGGTCTTCACTGCTTTTGTATGCACATGCATACGAGATGCGTCTGAATTTGAATTATTCATCATTGCTGCAGTTGCAGTCGTGCTGCAGCCGCTGGCTGTAGCTGCTGCTCGAAGACGAGGGTTGTTTGCCGTCCTTGAGGGTTGGCGGCAACAGGCGGCGTGATGCGGCAACACTTTGTGCATTTTCCAGTTTCCAGCTCGCATTCGCATCCACAAAGTCCACACGGCATCTGGCTATAGCTAGCTGTTGTGTTGGCGGCAATTCGAAAGCAATTTTGCCAGCATTAATCATTCCCCTTATCCACACATGACACACACAACACCCCCATAAAGAGACAGAGAGAGAGAGGGAGATAGAGTCAACTGGCCTTTTGTCTAATGTTGACAAAACGCATTTTAAGCTCTTCAGAATTGCCAGCTTCTTTTGTTTAGTTAGTTGACTGCCCACTGTGCATACATATGTGGACTCGGCTGGCTGCGCCTGGGCTCTCGATTTTGGATTTGAATTTGGATTGCTTTGGTTTGGTTTGGTTTGGTTTGGCGAACTGGTTTCGTCGGGGACATCGGCAGCAAGAGGCCAGCAGCAGCCTGACCCTTAATATGAATTGACTTTGGCCACTTTTGTTTGCGAAAGCCCTTAACTACCTTATTGTATTGGCTGTTGACTAAATCACTTCAGTGCATCAGTTGCGCATTTTTTAGCAGTACACACTGAGCGAAACTGGGTTGTCCTTGTAAAGTGTAAATAATTTAAAATATTTTGGATATTATAGTAGTACAACCATAATTAAATATCATATAATATTTAATTTTAAAAGAATTTTCTATCATCCTGTATACGAAATAAACTATGTACCACCCTGTGATGTATAGATTTTTTTATATAATAAAAATTTTTATATATTTTTGTAACTATAAAATAATTTTGTATATCTAATCTTTAAAGAAACAGAGTTTCGTTAACAATATACAGTGCTATATAGAATTAAACATAAAAAATATATAGCAATGGAGTTTCATTATAAAACAACAAATGGTTATATGTATATTTTCTTATATTAAAAAAGAGTGGCATATAAATAATATTTGGTAGCTTTATGGCGCTGCTACATAGCTCTAATAATAGATAGTTTATGGCGCAACAATAAATCCGATTTAGCACAAAAAATGGAGAAATATATGATCTGCCATCAACTGTATTCACACTCACCTAAACAAAAAATATTTTCTATTTTTTGCGAGCTGAAGTTTTCGCAGTTGTTTTTCCCCAGTTGCTGCAAATGCACGACAAATTAACAGAGCTGGCAGAGCAAAATGTGAAATAGTCCCGTTGCAACGGCAGCTGCTGCTACGGCTGCCACTGCTGCTGGCTGTCTCTGTGTCCCTGGCCGTGTCCGTGTCCGTGTCCGTGGACGCCACGCCCGCGGCTTTGCTGTGGCACTAAGCAAATGGCTGTTGCGAATAAAAACTAAAACTCTGCGCTTGTTTTTCTGTGTGATTTTCACACACAGCGCACGATTGGGATGGAAAGTTTATTCAAGGAGGGTGGCACAATTCCGTGCACCCTTGGGTGAAGGCGCAACACGGCGTGTACAATTTACAGTTAGCCCGCCGCGACACACACAGCAAAGCCCACGTTAATTTTGTTGTTGCTGTGTCCGCTAAGTTTGCAGTTAGTTAAATATACTTATATTATATACATATATTTATTTTAACTTTTTATTATTTACTTTTATGTTTTATAAATTATTCTTTTAGCACCGTTTTAATTGCGCCTTTTGCTACTGCAATGTTCAACTTTCAACCCCCGCGCCTCTCTCGCTGTCACACTTCACTCAAGCGACATTTGTTTTTGTTTACCAATGGCTCGATTGGATTTACCGTTACCGCACACGCGAACGTCTTTCGTCAAACTGGCCAAAAAAAGTCGCACACACTCATCGAGCAGAATTTCTCAATTGAACTTTGGAAAGTAGAATAGCAGTTGAAAGCTTTACAAAGAGCATACGCTCAATTGCAATCACTGGCTCTCCCGCACTCCCACTCTCTCACTCTCCCTCTCTCTCTCTCTCTTTCTCTCTGTCTCGCACACACATTCATTTTGCCTCGCTTGGGCAGTCGAAGGCGGCTGTGGCTTTGCAAAGTAAATGCGACGCAACAGCGCGTTGAGCTTTGAACGACAACCACCCGAAAATGGCCAAAACGACTTGGCGATTCGGCGACTCGATGAAAAGCTCCAAACACCCCGTTAGTTGAGCGCATGCGTCAGCATAGTTCAAAAGTCGCGCTCAAAGCTCTCACTCAATGCTTACGCTCTGGCGCACTCTCTCTCAATCTCTCCAGCTCGCTCGCTCTCGTTGCGTTACGTGTGGGTGGTGGTTGCCCAGCGTGGGGTTGCGGTCTGTTTGAGTTGTGTCCAAGTGTGGGTGGATGGTTTTTCTCTACCGCACGTTATTATTGCTATTATTGTTGTTGTAGTTGTAATAATGCAGCAACAACAGAAGCAGTGGCAGTGGCAGCGCCAGCAGCAGCAGCAGCAGCAGGCGGCGTTTTAGCGGCAGGAATGTGCACTTTGTTCATGTTGTTTGTGCTTTGTTGCTGTTGCTGTTTCTCTTGTTGTTGTTGTTTGCTACTGCAAATTGCCTCGTAGCATTTAAGTCGAATTATGAAACTCGGTGCAGGCAGCCACTGCCGCTGCCGCTGCCGCTGCCCGCCCTTCGCACACGCCGACAACAGAAGCGAAGCACCCATGCAAAACGCCAGGAATGGGAATGTGAATGCGCCTAAGGGAGAATACCTGTATTTTAATTAATATTGATTGAACATATTGAGCCGTGCAGGTGTGCCTTAATTTAATTGTGTTTATTTTATTAACAAACAAAAAACTTTCATGGCTTATCAAATTTTAAGCGCATATTCATAACTGCATTAAGGAAAGTTTTTTTTTTTATTTACACCTTGTTTGTAAAAGTATGGCATATCTGACATTTCATGGAAATTTGCGTTTAATAGTGTTGAAATGGAGTTTATTACAAACCCTTAATGAAAAAGCAGGTAATACTTCATGGTCAAATATTCATATCAGCTAATAATAGTATTGTAAATTTTAAGCAACAAAGAAGTATATTTTTAACGGCTCTAAAGAAAATACTAAAAAATATACTTTTCAGCAAATTCAAACAGGAATTAGGTAAAATTGTAAAAATATAAGTAGTAAAAAAAATAATAATTTTATTGTCTAATAAAAACATTCATTATAACATAATTAAACATACCATTTTCTTAAAAAAAAAGGTTAAACTGTAATTGAAGGCATATTGCATCGTTAATCAACTAACGAATACTACGTCATTTATGATGGCTTACGTCATTCTTGGTATTTTTCATTTAACACGCGTTTTCCGATTGACCACTTATCGTCTGGCCGCCACAGCGATAAACAGCTGTTCTGCTAGATAGCGTAAAACAATAATCGTCCGGTCACAACAAATTCATTTTAACAAGAAAGAAAACATTAGCTTAAACGAAAAGCAATTACGCTCGAGTAACGTAACGCATCGATTTTGGAAATTAATTAGAATAGCCTTGCCACTATGAATGTGTCTGTATACGCATTGTGACGACAGCAACAGCAGCGAGGCGCAATATATTAATTTAGAGCAAGCCAGAGCCCATTCGGATCCCACGATGTCCACTGAGGAGTGCCTGTGGCGCGAGCACGTTGTCCAAAGATTGCGCGAACGTGACCGCAAGGAGTGTGAGAACTTCAAGGAGATTATTGTGCAAAGTGAGTAACATGTGCACACGCATGCACATACATACACATATATTTATATATAGACTGCAGACAAAGCCTGACGGCGACTCATTTCGATTGAGTGCGTGCTAACTAAAAACTTGTTCTATTCCACTGAGCACCATCATAGACAACCGCCTCATAGATCATGTTGCGCAATTAAAGTCAGACAATCTGAAATTGTCCGTGGAGAACGAGCAACTGCGCAATGCCGTGTCAACAGGTGGCACCGGTCCCAATGTGGCCATTGCCACGCTGGAAAAGAAGCTGCTGGCGCAACAGGAGGAGCTGACGGACCTGCACAAAAGAAAGGGCGAGCACTCCCAAATGATTGTCGATCTAAATCTCAAAGTGGAGCAGCAAAAGGAGCTACTTTCCGAAAAGGAGCACAGGTATGTCCCATAGAGAACTCTTGCCAATTCCGATTCAATTGATGCTGCTTTCTCCCTCTCTCTCTCTCTCCCGTTTCAGTCTTTACGAACAACAAACTGCCAACAATCGCTTAAGGGCTGAGGTGCAGCTGCTACACTCCAGCCTGGAGGAGCTCAAGAAGCTGAACACAACCTTGCTGGATGAGCACACGGCACTGCAGTTGGCCTTCAGTTCCCTGGAGGAGAAAATGCGCAATGTGCAGGTTAGTTGGGCCGATTCTTCAGTTAAGCCTGATCGTTATAGCACTGCTTTACGATTTCTAAACATTTTTGCCCACAAGTATTGTCAGATTTTTTTTAAATATCGTTCCAAATTATATTGTTTATGTTATAAATGCATGTGAATATTAAATAGAATAGTCGTTAAAGGAACTCTGTAAGTCGATTATATATAAAAGTATAATGATTGTGTGTAGGGTATAGATTATATTTAATGAAGTGAGAAGAGTATAATGAAAGTTGAATAGTTTAAACTCCATTTGCCAGCTTATAGCTAGCTGATCTAGTCAGAGTCATTTCGGAACTGAATATATAATTAGCCGCAAAGCGAGCAGACGTGAATTTGTCTTGTTTTATCTTTCTACTGCCAAACTTGTTTCTTTGTTCCAGGCGTAAAAGTTTTTATGGGTCAAATCAAATGAATTTGCATATTAATGAATGTAGCTCCCATACATTATTAATTATAATGATTATATTAATTTGCATTATTTGCTGACATTTTGTTAATTTCTCTCGACTTACAGGATGAGAATCGCTACTTGCTGGAACGTTTGATGCGCTATCGGGCAAAAGACGCCGATAAACTGAATGAAGAAAACGAAAGTTTAATAAGGTAACAAACACAAAGACAACAAAACAGAAAAGTGAAAAGAAAAACGAAGAATGCTTTTATTTTTATAATTTCTTATATCGTTTTTTGTTAAACGTGCACTGCATTCATTCATGTTATCGGTTCATATTATGATATTGTATATATATCTATATATACATATAATATTTATAGAAATGTTGATAAGTATTGGCTAAAACTTGCAAATCTTTTTGGTATGCTAAAAATATATATTTTCACAAAAATAAAAAACAAAATCGTTTTCACAGTAGAATTGAAGAAATTGCATGAATCAGATATCATTTAATTTATAAAAATTGTGTGTAAAATATTAATAATTTGAAATGAAAGTAAAACTCAGTTTGTGATATCAGTTTTAAGTATTATAAAACACGTTAACAACAGATCTCTTCTAAGTATGTATATTGACAAGAAATTCTAGATTTTCAGCAAAATATTTTTGAACACTTGTATTCATAGAGTTTTGATTTTTTCATTTATTATTAAATTTTAAATTCTTGTGGCTGATTGCAATAACTTCGCTCGCTACTTACATAACTCGCAAGCTTGTTCATTGGGTCATTAAAAATTAATAAATCACATTGTTATGCAACTAAATTGCTTTTGTTAAAGGTAAATAATCCCGATTCGTATCTATCTATCTAGACGGGCTTTTTCGAATTTAATATTTTTTTGTTTTCTTGTTTTGCTTTTATATGGTTCAACATAAACATATGTAACCGATTTCGAAAATATCTAGAAAAAGACTGCCGTCACTTTTCAGAAAACGTTCGGCTAAACTGAAACGTGATTTGGAGGACGCCGTGCGCGAACCCAATTCGGCGGTAAATCCGATTGTTCCTGCACCGGGCGGCACGCCACTGCATCGCAACTCGAGTCCAGCCCAATTCGGTGGCCCCGCTGGGAGCGACGACGAAATTGATGACGGCTCAATCAACGGCGCCATGGAAGCTTTGGGTCTGAACGACGAGGAATATATCAGTGCTAGATTTATGGGCGGCGAGGCTGTCCATGATGTTGTGCGTCCCAATACAAATACCTCCATCGAGACTCTCAAAGCTGCTGGCTACCTGGGCCAGCCAAATCCGACGAAGATCTTCATGAAATTCGAGGCGCATGAGAACGAATCGCATGCAGTACGCTGGAGTCCGGTGGAGCGTATGGTAGCCACGGGCGGTGCCGATAGGAAAGTCAAACTCTGGGATGTTGGCAAAGGTAATTCTCCATAGATTAATTGCACAGCTGCCGAAAGAGATTAGCTTTATTAACTGCAATCAATGCTCGTTAGGTTCGACGGAGCCGCGTGCTGTGCTGAGCGGAAGCAGCGCTGGCATCAACTCTGTGGACTTTGACTCAACGGGAGCCTACATACTGGGCACATCTAATGACTATGGCGCCCGAGTGTGGACAGTAATGGATAATCGGCTGCGGGTGAGTAGAACGGAGAGTTAAGCCTCTAAGAGCCATTCAAAATACAACATTTAGACAGTTCTATTTGTTATCTTTGTAAGTCGCAAAACAAAGGCAGGCAGAGATATGGAAGTAAGAACGTTTACCTATGTAGATATCATTCTATTTAAATATATATAAATATATTATATCTTGCTAAACAAAGACTATAATATATTCATATATTTATTAAATCATGTCACAACACAATGCTAGACATATACGCTGTAAAATAATTCCATAATCGAAACCAAATGATAGTGAGTGCCGCAGTCTGCTCGACTAATGCATACCCTGCCCAAAGATTGAATACACCGCAGCAACAAATATAGATAAAATATATTAATCAATTGTTATTATCTCTAAATCCATCTGCTTTATGACAACTTTTATTTTTTTATTTTATTAAATATGCTTATAAATAATAATTTTCTCGAATTTCTTTATGTTTAAAACATATTCATTTCTCTAAATGAGTATTTAAAAATTATTTATTTTTCATTGCTGTGCTTTTTATTTTATTCATTAAAAATATTGGAAAAAAAGACAAGTGTATTCAGTCATCTTTTCTTCCAAATTAAAAAATCATTATAATTGTATTATTATCATTGTTATAACTACTATAGATTTATCTAATGCAAAATTTTATGCTAAAGAATTTCGAAATATCACTTCTATTTATAAAATATTTTCAGAATTTGATTTCTCTTAAATAATATATATTTAGATCTAGAATATTGCATTATTTTGCACCGATTCCTCCATCATTTACCGCAATCGAGGCAAAAAGTAAAAACCCCAGTATATAATGAATTATATACGAACTAACATCATTTTCGCTCACACCTTGCACAGCTTGCCCAGCTTGGGCCCTGCTTATCAGATTATTTGCCGAACGCGATATTGTTGCTGCCGTTGGCTCTGTAGTCCGTGGCGCCATTCAGAAATTGATTAACATATGGCTGATGGACCTGTCGTCGCCTATACAAATACGACCAAAGGGCGATAACAATGAATTGCGCCACAAAAAACACAGTCACAGCCACAATGAAACCTGAAACAACCAACAGAAGCTTGTTTTAGACTACTCAATGTGGAGGGTTTTGGAATATAATATAGTTTATCAGAAGTAGATTAGCGAGATATTTGATATATGTCTGTATGTACTCACCGATGCCATCGAAACAGAGGCCGGCCACGCCCTCATTTACAAATAGCACATTGTCATACGAATCGTAGTCCTTCAGCTTATTTGTCTGCTTTTGCTGCTGTTGCTCTTGCTGCCTCTTGACGAAGCCAAATTTATCAGTTATCTGTATCGATTGTACGAGCAGCAAATCCTCTTGATTTGTTTTGTTTTGCACCTGTCTGACCTCACGACTGTTGCGCTGATGATCTGCTAGAAGGTTGAGAATGGAGAGAGATTAAAATTAATCTTAATCGAAGTAGATCAAATTAAACTTACCCTGATCATATGCCTCACGCCTACGTCGGCGTCCATAGGAGGTTTGTGTCCTGAACTCCGCCGTAATATCATCCTGTTCGCAGTTCACGGGCTCGCAGCTGGGCATGCAGGGCGTGACGAGAGCACGAAACTGCACCACATCGCTCGAGGGGAATTTGAAGGCATCGAAATTGGTAAATAACATTTTGCCAGACTGTTCGCTCTTGAGAATGGGTCCCATAATCAGGTGATCTGTTGGACAGCCCTGTGCGTCGATCAGCGTTATCTCGGCATTATCAGCGCCGTCCATGGCAACCAGCTCGCGTACGAATATTTCGTACGGACTCTGCTGATCGGCTATTTCGAAATGCAGGGCCAGGGGATCGCCCACCTCGGCAGAGCGCATCATATCGGAGCCATTTCTGGCGGAGATTCGCATCAGAACATTGGGCGAGTCGACAATGACCTCCTCAGAGAGTGCCGTCTCCACTTCGCCCTTGACGCCCAGATCCAAATCGTTGGTCACCGACTTGTTGGTCAGATCGTACTGGCAGGTGACGGCCAGACCCAGGTCGGATGAGGTGACAATCGTGTCGTGGTGCTGAATCACCACGTCATTCATGTAGCGACCCGCACCGCTTTGACGCACATTGCACTCCAAATTCTGGTAGCCCATGCGAATCTCAAAGTCCAGCGCACTGGTCACGTCCACAGCACACGACTTGGGCGCGCCCTTGGCATAGACCTTGCCATCGAAGAGCTTCGAGGTGCGTATGCGAGCGACCATGTCGCCGGCTCCACACTCGATGGTCACGTTGTAGCAGGAGGACAGCTCATAGGTGGCCGCCTCTGGCACCTCTAGGTAGGGATCCTGCACATCGGAGAGCGTGGCGCGACTGTGATGCGAGAGGCGGCAAACCATGTCGCCGGTGTCTCCATAGTCGTAGGAGTGGCATCTACGAGAGGCAGAGAGAGAGAGAGAGAGAGATGAGTCTTAGAGCGAGATTAGTCTTATGTATTCCCCACCTGTATGGCGAATTGAGACACAGCTCTCGGCACTCGTCCACGCTGCCAATATCCTGATAAACCGAGTCCACCGTTTTCAGTATGCGACCTGGCAAACGCTTGAACTCACACAACTTGTTCGGCTCCTCGGCGCAATTATTCTCCAAGTAATCTGTGCCCGGATGTGCCTGAAAGGCGTTCGAACCGGCCAAAGTAAAACGATCCATTTCGGCCAGCGTACAGCTATTTGTATCACGATGATAATTCGCAGATCTGCAAGAGGCACAAATGAAATACGGAATATGATTTAATAATAATGCAAGGTATTTCGATCAATATTTATAGCAACTAAATCTAGTAACTCTAGCTCTATCGTACAATATGATGATCGTTGTTTTTATAGAACACCATGAGCATTATCCCATAGTAGTTATTATTACTCTATTATTATATACTGATTATTGTCATTTACATAGGGAACATCATTATTAATATCATTATTCAGTAACTTATGATCAAATTATTCGCTTATTAGTTTATTATTTTATTTTATTTATTTTTATTTTTTTATGATGTATGAATATGTTAAGAGTCGAGCTTATTTTTTAACAGACTTAAGCCAATAATTTTCTTCAAAATTATAAAGTTTTTACAAAAAGGCCGATTCTATCTATAGAATGATTTCAGTTCAGTCCAGTAGCACAAATTACTTCGGTAGTCGCACACAATATTTGATTTAATCACCTGCATATGAACTCCGTTTCGCCAAGACACAACTCGAGGCAATCACGACGCGATGTCACTGATACGACTCGTTTTGCATGTCCATCCAGTCTGTAGTTTTGAACTCGATCGATGCACCAGGCTCTGGAGCATGGACGCACGCCCAAGCAGGTTTTTTGCGCGTAAATTGTGAAAACAGGAAACTGTGATTTAGTGAGGGCACCTGATCAATTAAATTGAGAAAATATTGAAAAAATCAATTCATTAGAAACGTAGCTTAACACTAAATACATTTATTCAATATGATCTTAAACGAATTCTTGTTCCACTTACCGGGCAGAATATCAGCATTCGATGAAAATAGAACGCATAATCCAGTTTCGTAGTTAACGGATTGGCAAGTTTCGTTAGTCTGACACGATTCCAGGCAATCGGTGAGCATCAGTGTGCCCGGCAGCGAGTCCAGCAGTCGGCCAGGTGCGGAGAAAACATAGCTGTAAATGAGATAAACTTAAATTTGAATTTCAGTGGTCATGAAGAAAATAATATTAAATATTTATGAAATAGATTTGTAGGTGGCATTAAAATATTCCACATTATTGAAGTTCAATGACGTGTAGTATATTATATATAAATAACATATATATGGATCTGGATATTAAATATGTGCAATATATATATATCATGATCAAATATGTATTATATAAGGTATATTTTATATGATATATTGTGATATTGTATATTATACAGTATTATAAAGTACATATCATGATCTTGAATGATCGAATTCCCTGATAAATTAAGTACAGTTTGTTTATATAAACACATATATCATATATACATATATCTCTTCTCGATCACTTCCTTTCTGTTGTCTCTCTCTTTCTCTTTCTCTTTTCCTCTCTCTGTTTTTCATTCACTTTCTCTCTCTCTCTCTCTCTCTCTCTCTCTCTCTCTCTATCTTTCACTCACTCTCCCTCTCTTCCCTCTCTCTTTATCTCTCCCTCTCCCTCTCTCTCGCTCTCTCTCTCTCTCTCTTCCCTCTTCCAAAATCTTACCCTGTAATAATTTCGAAGCCCAACAAATCTGGGTCACATTCCTCGCTCCAAGTGTAATTATGATAATCTGGCTGGCCAGCCAGGGAACTGTTCTCCCCCTGCTCATCCTCTTGCCACAGCTCCTCTCTGAAAAAGGGCTTCGGTGCGTCAGAGTCAGAGTGCGAGTCATAGTCAGCGTGAGCATCGGGCTCTGCGTGGCTGGCATCTATAAGTGAAATGAAAATGATGGCATTCATGGTTAATCGTCGCATTAACAGGTAGCGGGTTCACGTTGCCGGCTACTGTTTGTTGAGGTATTTACCGCCAGCCAATTTGGTCTGTGTTGTTGCTGCATTGGCATTGGCATTGGCATTGGCCACGTACAATGATTGATCATTCTTCTGGCTGGGATCGGCTGGGCTGCTGTCGGTGCTCTTTGTTTTGTCACTTTCAGGCATTGATGCTGGTGCCAGCTGAATGGCGACGGGCACCATCTCTGGCTCCGCCAAATTGTCCCTTGCAGCTGCCTCCAGCCCAATGCGCGACCTGCGTGCATCTCCCGAAGAGCACAGCATCAGCAGCATGAGCAGTAGCTGCAAGTGCGTTGGCCTCATGCTGCGTAATGGCCGTATGCTGTTTTTCATTGGAAATATTTTCCTCAATATGCGTAGAGTGCGGACTTCGGGCAGCGGACAGCGGACAGCGGACTGCGGCAGCGGACTGCGGCAGCGCACGTTCTCTCGATTTGTACGATTTGTGTGCTCCTCTCGCACTCCACTCGGCAGTCTAAAGAAAAACAATAGCAGAGGTATTAATTTAATTATCTTTTCATGCCAGCTCTGGTGTCTGAGGTGTCGTTTAGTCCGTTCAATTGCTCTGGCGCCCAGCCAGGGGACCACCATTACCCATAATTGTATGTTAGTTGTTTCTTGTTGTTGTTGTTGTTGTTGTTAATAAGCCTTAATAGGCTTATTATAGTATAATGACCTTTCCGCATCTATCGACAATTGTTCTTCCCTACACAGCTCTTGGATCTATAGAACAAACTATTTTTATTTGTTTTCAATTAGAGTTCTAAGAGCTTTGCTATGTGAGCTTCACTCCATAATTCTCTAAACAGGTGTTTCTTGATTTGGAATTACATGGAAATCGAAGTAGAGTAGAATATTCTCCTACTATGTACACTTCACACTTGCTTGTGTCTATAGAAAGTGATTAGGATGAAGTCGTTGAATGCCTGTAGTTACCTATGTAGGGGAAAATATCATCTATATTTGGCTACTTATTTGCTTAAAAGTTTAATTCATAAGTGGAATTTCGAGTTCGTATAGTTATCAGCGCTTATTTAGATGAAAAACTTAAAGCAAAAAGTTTAATTTCTTATAGATATTTACAAATCATTAGATCATAGTGCTTTATAGCATTTATAATAAAATTAACTATATTCCTGTGAATATTTTTATACATATAAATAGAGATAATAGTTCTTATTACTATAAAATACCTCACCTGACTCATTTATAAAATACAGATCAAAAATCAAATAGACTATTATTGCTTCAATCTGATCTTGTCTAATCTTTAGCTAGAATTCTTAATTCTTAACTTTCTCTAAAGTCTTTTAATATAACTTCAAGTTGTGTCCATTGTTTGCTTGACTACAGCTCAAAATACAAAATCAACTAACGAGTCAACTGAACGAACTCTCTCGCTGACATCTATGGAATGACACGAGCAACTCGAGTCTCGAATGCAACATTGACGAGTGACATCTGCTGATTGACAGTTATCGACGTAGACCAAGTTGTTGAGGGTTATATGGGATAAGTTTTTAATATGTGTGACTAAAATAACTGACGGGGCAACGTGCAGTCGAACTTTTTAATAGGCCGAAAAAAAGGGAATAAGAAAAAAGTCGATATATATATAAATACACATGTTTATATATAGAAATGATCTTGGACTGCATATGGAAGTGATTTAATCTCTGCGAGGGAATTTTATTAAAGTGCAGCTAAATGCTAACCTTGAATAGAAATCTATACAAAATGTCGATAAATATCGGTGCACTTATAAAATAAAATAGGGCCAGCCTTTACTTCCTTTACATGACATTACATTATCTATATCGCACAATATCGATAAATATCGTTTCTCTTATAGAACATATTGCCGCAGCAGGTGTTGATTTGCTCGCTTTAATCCCTAGAGCTACTTGAGTAAAGCAGTTCTAAATCACATTGTAGCTCATATTTCTCATCTCATCAAATGACTTTATCTATTTAGTACAATTAACTAGATACATTTTTATAAGCAACGGCACTAATCACACTCTGAGCCTGTTTATTTGACTTTAAAAATTATAAAAACATGAGATGAAAGCAGACTAACTTAATATGTTAGTGGGCTTTTGTTGTTGTTGCTGTTGCTGTTGTAGTTGCGCCTGCTTTGAATGTACTTCTTCTCATGGGAGATATTAGCATTTTAATTCATTTGCTCGCTCCTACACATGACCCTATGTAAATGAGGAACAGATTGTAAACAAAGGCAGCAAACAAACAGAGAGACAGACAGACAGACAGATAGACAGATATTTTGCATTATAACCCATTTTCAGGCGCAGCACTAACCAGAGAAACCACAAAGCATGCTTCGATGCCTAAGTATTCATCGGCTCTGCTGATATCTGACGCTGTGAATATGCAGAAGCCAGAAGCCAGAGTGTGGAAACCATTTAGGAATTTAACTGAGCTACATATGTGTGCTATACTTGAGATTGAGAATTTTACAGAGATAGGCCTGGCTAACTGTTGTTATCAAAAAGAGAAGAAAAGTCTTTAGAGTGAAAGTGAAATTGGGCTGCATTTTGACTAGCCCAACTTTAAGTTAGCTCAACTTGACTCTGCCTACTGCCTTTGGGCTGTCTTGGCCATTGCTTTGCTAATTGCAGTTGGCCAGCAACCGAATGCAGCTGCTGCATAGCTCAGCGAATGCCGACGTCCTTCTATTGCGTTGCATGTGCGCATTGCGAGAAATCAAATAAATTGTTAAATATGACAACAGGCTGAGAACCCGCATTGACTTGGCCTAAATAGCAGGAAGGCAACAGCAACAGCAGCGACAGCGGCAGTGGCAGTGGCAGAGGCTGTGGCAGCATTTGGTGCTACACATTGCGGCATGTGACTAAACATATAAGTGCGATTTCTTCCTCCTCTTTCTATGCACTTATGCAGTTGCAGCCGCCGCTGCTGCTGCTGCCGCTGCTGCTGTTGTTGCTGCTGCTGTTGCACCACCTTTTCTAACTGGTATTTCTGGATTGACATTTAAACGGTTCTTTTTGCGCACATCTCGAGATATAGAGTCCCGCTGTCCGCGGCCATTGAAATGAGCACATTGACTTAAGCTGCCTCCTTATCACGCCGCGCCAACTTTGCGCCTGCACTTCTTACCTGAATTATTTGCCATTGAATTAATGACAGCCACGGCGGCGATCACTCGAAACTCGAAACACGAAACGGTTTCCAATACACACACTCGCACACACACACACATGCACATGCAGACACATGCACAATTTTTCCAGCTGCCTATCTAATTGCCCAAAAATATGCTCCATTGCGTTTCGACCCCATTTCGAGAGTATGACTCCGTCGACTCTTAATTGTCAGCTGGCTTCCAAAGTGGGCCAATTTTCGGAACGACCTTGTTCACATATCGGCAAGTGGGAGCTGCTTGAACGTAATGTTTTAAGATTGTGCATGAAGCCTAATTAAATACTTATTTTTACTTACTTGAAATATTTGAAAATTTAAGTCAAGTGTGGAATTGTTGTTAACCTAAGTATTTACTGAAACTAAATATATATTTTTTAATCACTTGAAATATTGGGAAAATTCAGTCAAGTATGGAATTGGCCTGGCTATAGTCAAATATTTTAAATTGAATGACTACTCGAACAGATTTTAATGCTAATATTGAAATAAAAATTGTAAACTGAAGTTTCAAGCTGAGCAAATAAGAGCAAAGCATTCGCAATAAAACTAATACGATTCGACATTTTATATAGTTTCTGGGTTGAAGCTATATAGCTTCATAAAAATATTCTTAGCAATGTGAGTTCTTTGCAAGAAAATATTAATATAGATAAATGATAATTTATGTTACACTCGATTGTTGAAATTATGCAAATTTTTTTTTTAAGAATACTTGCGCGGAAATATTTTAACTATACTCTACATTGAAAATATGTTTTTTTTTTTACAGAGGCATATATATATAATATATATGATTATGATTATTATTGTTAATTAATAATGTATTATTATTATTATTATTTTAATAATGTATTATTATTATTATTTTTTTAATAATGTATTATTATTATTATTATTTTAATTATGATTATTATTGTTCATTAATAGTGTATTATTATTATTATTATTATTATTATTTTAATTATGATTATTATTGTTCATTAATAGTGTATTATTATTATTATTATTATTATTATTTTTATTATTATATTATTGCAGTTAAAATATTTGCACTCTATTTGCATGCATACATATGATATAGCATAAATGAAATATGATCATCATATATCCTATTGACATTTAAATCCGTTTCACTGTCCCTTTTTTACCAAATTGATTTTCAAAACATATGTATTAAAACAATTTCAAAGCAATATTCGCTTAAAATTATTTTCAAAATATTACGTTTAACACTTTTTAATGATAGTGCAAATTTGCACTACTTTTTTCACGAATGCTGCTGTATTAAATTAAATATATAAAATTAAATATATGAAATATATATATATATATATATTAAATTAAATATATAAACCGTAGGTTTCACTATCCTTATTCAGCAAATTGATGTATAAAATATATATTTATAAGCAATTTCAAAACATCTAGTGCTCAGTTTGAATGAGTATTGATCTATAAAAATATATGCAAATTTATAATGTTCTACAAATTCATTATTTACTATATAAAATCATATTCAGTCGCTTATTGAATTGCACCTGATCACCTCCATTAATTAATTTAAATAGCATTTTAGGCAACTATACCTAATTATTATTTCCAAATAATAAACTCATTAGCACATCATTAATTCCATCTGACAAGGAAATATTTATACGCCCAAAGTTTTGTAACAGAGCTCTGAGGCCCAAAATAGTTTATGGCTGCCTCGGTTCTATATATTGTAATTATAGTTATATTTTTCTAAATAAAAACTAATTTAATTTCGAATTAATGCCGCAATACGAACGAACGAATAAACGAACACTTGAACACATTTGCACACTTCAGAACATATTAGTTTTAGCATGGGGCTTAGTATCCACCTTTGAGACGTACTTGATTACTTGAGTAAGGTTGCCGCAGAACTGAAGTCATTTGACCAAAGTTATGTTCTTATATTTATAAGTTAAGATGCCTCTTCCGACTGCACTTAGAGGAGCAACTACTGCCGATCCATGCTCTATTCAGCATTCCATTCAAGATTGAACCACCGAAGCTCTGCAGCATACGCATTAACCTTACTTTGAATGCGAGAAACTTTAAGAGAGTCTAGCTCAAATTCTGACAATACGTCAACCGGTGGCACTGTCGAAAGTGCTATTATTCTAAGCAGAAAGGCCCTCACTCTAAAGAGAGTGGGAGAGAGAGAGAGCGGCGGCAGAGAGAGTGAGTGAGTGGAGAAACCTGTTGCTTAGTGTTGTGGCCATGCTCCAAGTCTCCAGAACGTGCATTGACCGTTCAGCTTCAGTTGCCGGGTTGATAACATTCCCCTGTGCTCTTTCGGAACTTGGCTAAGAGCAGGAGCTGCGCTTCACTTGCTATGGCTTAGAAAAACTTGGTCAGGGACATGAACAGGCTATTCTGGTTGCCAATACACGCACACAAACACACACACACACACACACACACGATGCAAAAAGAAACTCCTGATATTCCTATTGTATTCATGGCTGCGAGTTAATGATATAAAATGTATGGAGTATGCAAATCAAAATATTTGATTATAAATTATAGTGTGATATGAGAGGAAGGAGTTGGGCTTTAGTTCTATAAAGTAATCGATATAAATTATAACATTAGTTAACAGAAATCGAAACTAATACTAAAGAGAATGAGAATTGGGAACAAAGAGTTGAAAAGTAAGAAAATATTTAGTATAGAAAATATATTGTATTGTAATAGTAATAGTAATAGTAATAGTAATGAGTAAAAATACCAGATTCAGCTCAAGAAACTTAGTTCTAAAAGAAAAGAAAATGTTGCAAAGTATGAAAATTAGGAATATTTAGATCAAATGCCATCCGCAATTGGTATAACAAATTTAAGTTATATATTAAAAATATTCGATACTTTGGAACTATGAATTAAAATATGAGAGCTCAATCAATTAATATCATCTTAAAGAACTCAGCCTTGAATAAGATGAATCAAAAAGGGTTTTGAGCATAGAGATCAAATATGATCACAGTTGGTATAGGAAACACAATAGTTAAATTATTTTAAATTCTGATAATGATCATCAGTAACTGAGATTCAGTTAAAAGGGGAAGATATTGCAGATCATAAATTATATTATTAACTATATTATATTGTCATTAGACAACGACAAATTCAATTAGCAGTGACAATTCTCTCTGCCAGCTTTACACATTATAGTAAACTAGATTCCATATAGAGTCTATTATATAACTTTAGCATTACATTAAACCGAGTCACAGATTCCTCTGCTGCTCTCATGCTCTCACAGGTAAATGACTTTTTGGCAATGATAACCACACTCTGAGTCATGATCCTAACCGTATTTCTCTGCGAGTATAACTGAAACATCTGAAACTACAGCTAACCTTCGGGGCTGGACCAGCCCCAGCTAGTTGTTGTTGATCTAACTGAACGGCGCACAGCATAGTATTCAATAATTTGTTTCAAGAGCAGTTGAAGCTGTTGCTCGGTTTGGGTTTACGACAACTTTAATGACACTTTGTTCCCGGTAAAGCCTGGCTAAGTGACTGCTGTTCGGTATGCGTAATTGTTCCTAATATACGACGCGACGTCGCGACGTCCAGATTCATATAAAACATACTTATATAAAATAAATGTATATATATTTTGTCAACTGTGCCCAGTGCAACATTTTTATGGCGCCCAAATTTGTTGTTGTTGTTTAACGGCTTTACACCTGGCCTCTTCTTTGTTTTTAAGCACACACTAACGGGTCACAGTGGCAAGGTGATGGCCGCCAAATATGTCCAAGAGCCAATTAAAGTGGTGACCGGAAGTCACGACCGCACTTTGAAGATCTGGGACCTACGCAGCATCGCATGCATTGAGACGAAGTTTGCCGGCTCCAGTTGCAACGATCTGTGCACAACGGACAGCCTCGGCTCGACGATTATCAGTGGCCATTATGATAAGAAGATACGCTTCTGGGATATACGAACGGAGAAGCAAGCGGACGATGTGCTAATGCCTGCCAAAATTACCTCGTTGGATCTGTCGAAGGGTGAGTGAATCGAAAATGAAATTAAAAATCAAGATCAAGATTTATTTCATATTCAATTTCACGATCAATAGATTGCAATTACCTGATATGTTCGGTGAGGGATGATACAATAAAACTATTAGACTTACGCAAGAATCAAGTTATATCCACGTTTTCGTAAGTTTGAATTAACTGAAAATAAGTAAATATCTAATAATACCCTACCCTATATGCACAGAAATGAGCACTTCAAGATCAGTTGTGATTTTGCTCGCGCCTCGTTCAACTCGGGCGCTTCGAAGATCGCCTGTGGATCGGCAGATGGTGCAATATATATATGGAATGTGAATGGCTTTCTCGAGACGACGCTCAAGGGGCACAGGTAGGCATAGGAACTGGAATTATTTAAACTACACCTACACACACACGTACACACACTGGCACACACCTATTTGCACTGTTCTCTTTCTTTTTCTTGTTCCTGTTTTGTTGGCAACCCTAAAACGTAAAGTTCTGGTTCCGTTCCGTTCTTTCACAGCACGGCCGTCAATGCAGTGAGCTGGAGTCCCAACAGCAATTCGCTCGCATCCGTGGGGAAGAGCAAAAGATGCATCATCTATTCGGACTCGTAGCCCAAAGTCGGGCTGACGTAATAATTATCATATAAGTATATATGCTTGTCCCAGCGATCGCAGCTACGTTAAACAGGCGCACAGTTTCGGATGTCTCTTATGGAATCACCGAGTCAGCAAGTCAGCCGTGTGTCCTCCTTATAATATGTATTTGGATGTTATATATTATGTAGTATATACAATATATATGTATACTGAATCGGTTTACTGAGCCGATTTCCGTTTCAATGTAACCAACTTTTTTACGACATATTTTGTATGAAATTCTTTTAAAGTTAACTCTAGCTGGTTACCTAATATGATTATTATTATTATCATTATTGTTACGTGTATTATGTGTACGTAAAACTATCAATTAAATATTTAATTTGGACTCTTTTCGCATATTTAGGTTTGAACGAATTTAGCAATTTAACTAATAGATTTCAAAGCAAAATATTTATTAACATTTATTTTTTTACCAAAATAACTGATATAAAGAAGTCAAGATTTTTGTAATATGTAAATATGAAAATATAAATTATGCATACGATTTTAGTTATTCACTGAGTTAATTATTTAGATGTGAAGCAATTAAAAGAGATATAATTAAAGTCATTTGCAGTTAGTCTATAATTGTATTAAAGCTGAATTTTGCATTTTTTGATATAAATAAACAGAAATTCTTTGGTAAGATATGAAATGCTATATTTATATATATCTGGCAGAAGATATTTATATAAAATGTGCTTTGGCCACATAAATAATTTGATATGTCTATATAAAACAGGTTTTGTGTATTTTTATACAATAATACATACTATCTTATATATTGTATATATTCATATATATATATATATTTAAATGAAGACGAAAGTTTAGCACATTTAAGCATTCGCACACATCGACTGTGCCTTCGCCTCATCTTCTTTCGTTCTACCTTGACTTTGAAAATGTAATAAAAAACCAATTTAGATCATCTGCCATTGGCATGCAACAGCACTTAAACTGATGTAAGAATGCCGAGTCATTAAAGCATTTTTAAAATAGTTTTGCTTTCATCATTTTATATATTTGCCGGATTAAATAAGCTGATCATTTCTGAAGCAGCAAAAGTGTATTAAGAAATTGTGGCGAAGACAAATAGAGCGTAAGAAGAATTCATAGAAGAATGTTCAATCAAATGAGCAGTTATCGAAGTATTTATGTGAAGGCAAAGACAAAGATCTTATCTACAGAGAGATTGAGTTAAAGATCTTAACTTAAGTAAGGCTTATTTGTTATGGCAATATATTTACAATATTATATCCATAGTCAAGCTACTACATAATATATTGAGTTACTATGCTCAAGTTTCCATTTCACACTCTTCAATCTTCACTAAATTCAGTTCTGGAATAACTTCTTCAATATATTCTTAAGTATACAAGAATTATCTATACGTCTATCTATCTTCTTTTATATATAGATATATTCGCAAGGGTATTCCTTATTCCATACTCACACTTTCCTATAAAGAGTTCATAATTTATTATGCATGTCACCTCATTTAATGGCTTTGTCACATTTACTACAAAGCCTGTTAATTATTGAGAATTTATATTTGAGGATTATTCAGATGAGGTGTAAGTAATTGAACTACTTGTGTTATGCGATGTCATTCAACTGTTGACTGGATGGAAATGCAGAGTCAATGCTCTCGCCGCCTCAGTCTCTGGCTCTGTCTCTATCTCTGTCCCTGGTGACATTGAAGGGCCAAGTAACTATGCTGAGATTAACTAGGAGAGGCGAACATGTTTTAAGCAGTTTATAGTGCAAACATTAGGCATTAAATGGAAGCAGCCACTGAGTCAGTTTATGGGCAGCAGCGCTCGGTATCGTATGTAACTAGTTGCCCAAGATCGTTTACCTTGGTACACTTGGAAAAGTAATTTTTTAATGGCACGAATGCTTTTCGTGTGGATAATGAGGTGCAGAAATCTAATTGCTTTGTTGGTACAGCCAGTCGAGAGACGAGAGTAGTCGCGAGCCGAGAGCCAAGAGTCGAGAGTCGGGAGTCGGGAGGGACACATTCGTGCAGCCCTTTTATTGAAAAATGTATTCAACTTGGCACGACAGTTGTGGCCACATTGCGCTCCAATCTCATGAGATCATTTCGAGCAGCCCACCATGGACTATATCAGACACTCGTTCATCAATGCCTGCTTCCTCGTCTGGCACTGGGCAAATGCTAACCAGTGCATGCTCTTGCATACGCTAAATGCTGTCAGTTTCGCTCAGTGTAATGATGTCTTTGTTGTGGCTGTAGTAAAAGATTTAAATGCCATCTAAAAGAGCAAACAGCTACCAGTTGAAACTATTTTAATTGTTTTCTGCAATGAAACTAAGAAATCATTACACTCAAAGAAATTCTTGCACAAAAAAGTATACACTGTGACATACTCTAGAATTTGGCAATATTATAAATGATCTTCAGGCATGTAAGCTATAAATTGTACTTTATTGTTGATATATTTATTATATAATTTATAATAGTTTTAGATATTATATTTCTTGATTTACATATATTATTAATTCCATCATTTTATTTTTATTTCAACAATTTTTAGTAACTTTTTGAAATTTAATCTATATATTTATTTATTATTTTTATAATAATTCAAAATTATTGAATATTATATTTTGCAATTATTTTATTATTAATAAAAGTTTTACTCTTTTCTTATATTATTTAAAATTATATTAATGTTAATTTTAATTATAAATGTTAAAAATTACATTTTCGGTATAAATAATAAAATAATATACTATTCATTAATTAATTTGTAGTAGATTAATATTACTAAAGTTTATATTTCTATGATTATTTAATTTTTTTATTATTTCTAATTATTTTGCATACAAAGTTTTTCTACAATTTCAAATTAGTTTAAAATATGTAATTCAAACGTCCCGTAGAAATTCAGGAGAGTCAGCTTTCAGGGCCTTTTCCTTGAGCTGCCACCAGGCAAAGCTATAGAAAGTTCGAAATGTGATTCTTATATAGCCATCCCTGCTACGTACGTAGCGCATGCGCAATTAAGAACTATTTACTTTTCTAAAATAACGAAGCACGCAGCAGCAGCCGCAGCAGCAACAACTGTAAATGAAAATTGAAGAGGTTCTTGGAACGCGAACGCCCACTTGAATTTAGCCAAAATAATGTGCACTCTGTGGCAACATTATCATTATTGGCGACACCATGTGGCAAGGCGAGGTAAGGTTGCAGCAAGGCAGTTGCTGCTGCAGCCGCGATTCACTTTAAGATGTGGGTTGGACGTTCCACTCATTGCCATGGCGATGCTGTTAGCCATTATCCAGCGGCCAGCATTCAGATGCGCACCTGCTTCAAGCACGATATATATACATATATATATATATAGTATATATATATATATAGTTTGTGTGTGTATACAAGTGGAGCTGCAGCCGATGGTGTGCATCATGCAAATTAATGCACCCTCGGAGCCAACAGGAAACAGGCTTCGTGCAGATTTGTATCTTTATCTGCTGGTGGAGCAACCAGCACACATTCAAGCAGGTAACTGCTGTCTGGCTCTGTGTCCTCGCTCCCTCGCACACAGTTAGGTGCATTCATCTCAATTAATTCACTTACACAGCAAAAACAACGCCAGCAACAACAACTGTTTCTATATAGCTATATAGTTGAGGCCTCTCGAGAATTCCGCAGCGACCAAGCACTCGGCTTGAAAGGTCGTCATCGTCTTCATTGTCGTCGTCGTCGTTCAGCGTCTTTCAAATTAGAAAATTAGGAAAGTTTTTAATTAGGCCCAACATGCAAGCACCATTGCAAAAGAATTTACTTCAGATGGGCTCTTCAGATTTGGGCGTTCTCTCTCTCTCCAACTAACTCCCTTTTGCTCTTTCTCTTCCTTTTCCTCTCCCTCTTTGACAAACAATGCAGATTGACACGCATCATTATGAAAATATCGAGAGATAAAATGCCAAACAAGCTAACGAACTTAATAGGTGACAATTTAGCAGTCATTACAGCAGTCTCTCCACTCTGTTCCCAGCATTATGGTGCATCCGAAACAGCTGGGAAACACGCTTTTACCTCAGCTTCTTCTTGTTCTTTCTCTGTTTAACTGTAAGTCTCACTCAGGGCAATTACTTTAAAGTTGTCTTTGAATATTTACGCAGATTTCACTCGAAGATCATCTGTAATTTGGCTTTGCTAAGCAATCGTTATCTAGCAGTGAAATACGGAAAAACTAGCTGATCTTAACTCCGAAAGTGAGCGTTTTCTTTCCATTCAGGTAGGTTTAGCCAAACTATTGATATGCTGAATCAGTTGTAAATGGGATTTTAGTTTATTATGGTGCTATGAAACTATATTTGTAAGCAGAAGAAGGTGCGACAAATGCCATAAAATATATATGAGAGAATAATATAATGTTAATAGTACATAAAAAATAATATTTGTGTGTTAATAGCGTCTTTCATCCAGTCGACTATCCATGTGTCTATCTGTCCAGCTTTCCATCTGTCCACCTCTTCATCTTTCCGTTTATAATCTATAATTTGATGTAGTCTTTTAAACTCAACTCGAATACCACAAAAGGTTACCTGCCTTAGGGTATCTCCTAGTCGAGCTTTTCCAGCGAGAGCACTTGCTTTCTCTTGGGCATGGTCAGTATCAATATGTATATTCCGAATTATAATTCTCTCTGTTGTGAAACTCATAATAATTCCCTGTTTGCCAAGCCCCCAGTGGGCGTGGCCAAGAAATCTTTAAGAGCAGCTGTCACGCGAGCTTGTAAATAAAATTTCGTTAGCTTGATTAACGACGAAATAATTTGCATATGGACAGCTTGATATGCGGAAGTGATAAAATGCTTCAAGAAAGGGAAAAGTTGATCATTTTATTTTAATAATTCTAAATTTGGTATTCCAAAATATAGAGTTAACTGTTTTTGATTAGCTAGTTGGAGCTCTAACATAAATAACTGAACTGATCTAATGATTTTTTTGCGTTCTTATTTATATATATATATATTATTTCTATTAGCTACAATTTCATATATTAAAATTTTCTATGCACAACTTAACTTGATCTTTATTATCTATAGAATTGCTTATTCATTTCACTTTTAAGCATTCGTAATTTTATCTTTTCGCTACCCGTATCTGCATCTCTGATCTCAATAGACTCATCCCAAGGTTAGGCTTAATGACCTCAGTTAATTGTCTTCCAAAATATTTGCAATTTTTTAAATTGTCTAGCCAATCGCTCCATATCATCTTAAAGATCTCAAGGCAGTCTTCATTTTGTTTTCTGTTTTGATTTAGTTAAGGTCCATTATTCATTCATTCAGTCCATTCAGTCTGGCTGCTCAAAGTTGCTTTGTCATCGGTGTAGGTCACGAAATCAAGAACAAGTCGTAAGTCGGATGTTGATTCTGATCGAAAGTCTGGGCATCATAATGGGATTTTATGCTGGCAGCATTAGAAAGCTTCAATTAGCGCAGGTGTCTCTAAAAAGAGCCATACAAATATTACCTTGTTACAATCGAAACTGTGCAAAATTCGATTCTTTCACACGTCTTTTGTCGCTCGTCATTCCAATTAAATCAAGAAATCGTTTCTATTTGCAGTATAAATAATCCGCTCACAAAAAGAATTCATTAAAAAGTTTTTACTTTTATTGATTTTTAAGGCAGTTTTTATTTAAATTAAATTAAATGCATATATCGGCAATAATACATGTTCTATATATTAAGTATATTATATATCAGAAAATAAAAATAAATATATTATGTATATATAAATAAATAATATGTGTTGTTTAAAAAACGTTCTGCATTTGCCTAAGTTAGTAAATAAATTTAATAAAGTTAGTTTAAATTTGTGCATGATTTTTTCTTCTTTTCCAAAGTCACGAGGGTAGTTCAGTGGAGTTCTCGAACTACCTTCACAAGTCTGGAAAACATGCATAGAGTACATAGTACGTAAAGTGGGCTCAAAATATATAAATAGTAGAACTGAAATACATAAGTATCCATTAACCAACAAACAATCCGCGACATTTCTATTTATATTCTACACCCAAATCGAGCAATGACTAGACAAGACCAATTTCCAAGGCTGCCAAGTATCAAATATATATATAGAGACAGATTTATATATGTATGTGTGACCCGCTCTCGTCGTGCGCACCTGCTGAAATTAACTTGTTCGATCTGAGTTCGAAGCTTAGAGAAGATATTTAACCTAATACGAGTGCTGGTAGGCCTGAAGCTTCTGCCGGCGCTGATAGCAGAAGGTCCAAATGCCAATTATAGCCAACTGGGTGAGCAGGAAGAACGTGGCAGCTGTGATGAGTCCTACAGAAGAAGAAGTAAGAGGTAAAGAAATTATTAATAATATACATAAAAAATATAATAGTTAACGTATTTATATATTAGATCTATAAATTCCCATTAACAAAAGTTTTACATAATTCTATATAGAGATCTTTCAGTTAGAGAATCATATTAGGCTTTCATTTTAACATTTCCTCTAAAGAAAAAATATATATATTGCTACATCTTTCGTAAAGAATATGAATGATATATGATATACGATATATATTCCTAAGAAATCTTAAACTAATAAGAGAGGTGGAGTAAATCAGAATCGACTTTTGCTCTACCAACCAACCCCCTAAAAATTTGATATCAGATGGAAAACTTTCTATTACTATTGTCATATATCAAATATATAACTGATATGAAATATATAACTGATTCCTCATAAATATCAAAAATTATATCAACACTATTTTATTTATTATAACAAGGCTCAATTTACTCTACTTACCAAATGCATTGACACAGAAGCCGCGTCCCGGATTTGTAGTTGTGAATTCCGTTTCATTGTTCTCCGAATATCCGCCAATGTTCGACTTACGGCTCTGTTGCTCCTCGAAGCCGAACTTATCAGTGATTTGAATGGACTGAACCAATAGCATATCTGAGGGTGTCTTAACCTCGCGTTTCTGACGCAGCTCGAAAGTGGCTGGAATTATAATAGCAAATCTCAGCAAACTTCTCTTTCATATCATATAGTCTGAGAGACTCACCTGTTTCGTTGAGCGAACGGCGCTTGCGGCCATAGGAGAGCAGAGATCTGTACTCGCCGCTGGTGTCCTCCTGATCGCACTGGACCGGCTCACAGCTGGGCATGCAGGGCGTGACCAGGGCGCGGAATTGGACAATCTCACTGGATGGGAACTTGAAGGCGTCGAAGTTGGATAACAGGATCTTGGTGGAGCCGGGACTCTTGTATATGGGGCCCATGATGAAGTGATCGGTGGGGCAGCCATTCGAGTCGATCAGCGTGATCTCCGAGTTGTCAACGCCATCCAAGGCGACCAGTTCGCGCACGAATATCTCATAGGGACTCTGCTCGTCCATGATTTGGAATTTGAGTGCCAGCGGATCACCCACCTCGGCGGAGCGCATCATATCGGAGCCGTCGCGCGAGGTAATGCGCATGATCACGTTGGGCGAGTCGACAATCACCTCCTCCGATAGAGCGGGCGTCAGGTCGCCGCGCACATCCAGATTGACTCCGTTGGTCACCGACTTGTTGGTCAGATCGTATTGGCAGGCCAAGGCCAGACCCAGATCGGAGGATGTGACGATCATGTCATGATGCTGGATGATAATGTCGTTGACATAGCGCCCACTCTGGCTCTGGCGCACATTGCACTCCAGATCGTGATAGTTCATGCGCAGCTCAAAGTCCAGGGCGCTCCTCACATCCACGGCGCACGATCTGGGCGAGCCCTTGGCGTAGACCTTGCCGCTGAACAGCTTCGAGGTGCGTATCCTGGCCAGCATATCGCCTCCTCCGCACTCGATCGTCACATTGTAGCAGGAGGCGAGCTCATAGGTCGCCGCCTCAGGCACCTCTAGGTAGGGATCCTGCACGTCCGTCAGCGTAGCGCGGCTGTGGTGGGAAAGGCGACAGACCATGTCGCCCGTGTCATTGTAGTCGTACGAGTGGCATCTACAAAGATGAGTAGAAATAATTGAATATATATATATATATATATATCATACCATATGATATGTGTGCTTACCTGTATGGCGAATTGAGACACAGCTCACGACACTCATCCACGCTGCTCACCTCCTGGTAGACCGAGTCCACCGTCTTCAGAATGCGTCCGGGCAGTCGCTTGAACTCACACAGCTTATTCGGCTCCTCGATGCAATGGTTTTCCAGATAGTCAGTGCCGTCCATGACCTGGAAGGCATTCGTGCCAGCCAAAGTCGAACGGTCCATTTCGCTCAGCTCGCAGACGCCAGTGGCTCTCTTATAGTTTGCTGATCTGTAAAGAGTTGCAGAATGAGAGAATTTCATATTCATAGTATTCAGATTTTCATAGTCATATTTAGATTTATTTCTATTTTATTCTTTATAAATATATTCATACTTTAGCTCATATTTATGTAGATGAATATGACAATGAATACAAAAATGAATATTAATACATATATCCATATTTACATTCACATTCATATTTATATTCATATATATATGTTTCTTCATATTCGCATATATATTCATATTATATTCATATTTAGTTTTATATATTTATTTAAATTTGTATATTTAGTCATATTCATTTTGATAAATAAATATCAAATTTGTATTCGTATTTACATTCATATGAATATTCATACAATATTCATGATTATTTTTATATTTAAATTCAAATACATGTGAATTCCGTTTCATGATTATCTGAATGTCCGCCAATATTCGAGTACTCATATCAATATTCATTTTCATTCACTTGCATATTCATACTGATATTCACATTCACATTCGTATTTATATATAGATTCATATTTAGATACCAATATTTATTCATTCATATTCTCATATGGATTCATATACATATTAATATTCATATTAATATTCATAGTCCTATTCACATTCATAATTAATGTATTACTCATAATTACGATTCATTAAGCGCACCTTGCGGCCGGCCAGGTGAACCGAATCAGCGAGAAGTCAATTCTATTAGCTTTAAAGTGTTATTACCTGCATGTAAATTCCGTTTCGCTCAGGCAGAGCTCGGAGCACTCCCGCCGCGATCCCACCGCGAGGCTGCGCTTAACTTCCGACTTCAGTTTGTAGTTTTGAACGCGGTCCACGAACCAGGCCCGAGAGCAGTGCTTCGCGGAGAGGCAAGACTTCTGTGCATAGATTGTGAAAACCGGAAACTGCGATTTGGTTAAGGCGCCTGCAACGAACGAAGAAGAAGAAGAGAGGAGGGAAGCAAATTTAATAAGCCAATTTTTATGTTTCTTCTGCTGTCCTATCTAAATCCACAAATATTTAGCGAATTAGGATTTAAAATGTTTATTTTTTTTCTCTCCTACCTGGCAACTGATCAGCGTGTGCTGAAAATAGCACGCAGAGGCCCGTCTCGTAGTTAACGGACTGACAGGTGGCATTCTTCAGGCAGGTGGCCAGACAGTCCGTCAGCATTAGAGTGCCGGGCAGCGAGTCCAAGAGCCGGCCAGGTGCTGAAAAAACATAGCTAAAGGTAGAGAAGAGAGAAAAAGATTACACAGTTATAAATAGTAAATCGTCGACTTATGACAGCGCTTAATTAAAATATCAAATATAATCACAGGTGTTAGCTTTCCTCCTCTTCAACCTACCCGGTGACAATTTCAAAGCCAACTGCATCCGATTCGCAGCTCACATTATCCAAATAGATCTCGTTCGAGTCCTTCGTATCCAAATCGGCCGCAGCTGAGAGATCAAATTGGGCATTACGATTCTCCGTCTCGATGGCCGGCACCACATCGACTGTGGCTGGAATCTCTGTGGTTGTCTCGCCCAGCGACGGATCTGTAGCCAGCAAAGTGGTCTGCTCGCTGAGATCGCGTAGCTGATCAGAGCTGTCTGTGGTCGCCGTCTCCTGCGTCTGGGCTTGAGTCATGCACAGCATTAAGACGCCCAGCGCAACGAATTGCAAAATACTGTGGCTAAATACTCCATAAGCCATTATGACTATTCAAATGGAGGGCTGAAAGCATAAATAAATAAAACGTGAATGTCAGTCAATGAAGAAAAAGAAAAAGAAAATAAGTGAATATATATCAATATATATAGAGAAGAAATAAACGAGAATTGTAAGAGCCATGAACTTAGAGAGTGTTCGACTAGCAAATACCGCGCAAAAAAAGCTTGAATTGAGTTTTCGATTTGGATTCACGAATTAGTGAGTGTTAATCAGTGAAAAATAAATAAGATATAAAAAATATACTAATGTATTAACCGAGTGCTCGACTAATAAATACTGCGCACCGAAGTCAAACTTAAAGTTAGACTAATATATATAGACTTTTTCAATTTAGGTTAAATTGATGAATGTCAAGCAATGAAAAAAAAAAAAAAAAAAAAAATATATATATATATATATATATATATATATATATATCAATAATATACAGAGGCTGCTCGACTAGCAAATACCGCGCAAAGAAAACTCATTTATGGTCAGAGTAAAGAATGTTCAATTCTTCAATTTGAATACAATTAGTGAATGTCAGTTATGCGTAATGGCATTGATTGAGTAACTTCAACACTTGGAAAAATTCTCTCATGAGAACTGCATTTGGAAAGTCGATTTTCTGAATAAATGATCTATTCAGCCGTTAATTACCTTCTGCCCACTGAATGACAGCTAGAAATGCTAAATATGATTATCAATCATTGTCTATGGCTTTATATACATGTTAAATGCCACGCCCACTACTTTTAAAGGTTCACAGCAAAACTAGAGCAAAAGCTGACCTCCATTAGCGAACGCCCGCTCCAGTTGCTTAAGAATTCTATCCAAAAAAAAAAAAAAGTTCGCTTGAAAGTTTTTCAAATTACTTTCTATACAGAGTGTGTTTCGTTTGTAGCGCCTCACTGCAGAGCAGGGTTTTCATCACTTAACGATTTCCTAACAAGTCAGAACAATGCTTTCAGTTAAATTGGCTTCGCCCATAATTGAAAGATTATAAGCACTTGCAATCGTTTCTGATACACATCAATTTATTTGCGAACGCGCAGCGAACCCATATAATTAATATGAGATGCCCACTCTAGAGTGGACCCTAGTCCAGCCTATGGCGTCTGGCTGGAAGTATTTCATAACAATGGCGCACGTAGTGACCCTATGGACCATTGAGTACGAGGAAAGTCAATTACCTCTTTGGGGAGTGAGTGACCTTTTATGCCAGTTCTGGTTCGCTAACTCAAGCTGGCTTTAAGCCGGCTGGGCTCGCTAGCTGGCTTCACAGTTGCCGACTTAATGGCCAACAACAATAACATTTATGCTTTCATAGTTGCGAACACGAGACGCCAGGTAATAAAAAGGTTGTGAACTCTACAGAGTTACCAAGAGATCGGAGATCTACTGGAAATGGTATGTTAATATACAAATCCTATATATAAGGAAAGGGCTTAGGCTGATGCTGACATTTTGGAAATCGATCTGTGTAATGTTATCTCACATTTCTGGGCCAACCTCGCTCGGCTCGACGTGCGCTGGGTTTGTATTAGAGCGCATTTAGTTAAGAGCATGACAATAGACAGCAACAAGTCCAAGACGAAGTCCAAGTTGAAGTCGAAGTCGAAGTCTGCCGGCGTCGGCTTTTCGCCCAATTTCACTTTCCCGAAAGTCGCCCCAAGGCATAACAAATTTGAAAGACGCTTTGATTTTCGATAATGCTGCATACCAGACCACAAATGAGATCTCGTGAAACGCGACTGCGTGCCGGGAATAATCGCATAAAGAAATAAGCCACTAAACAAACATATAGAGAGATGTGTGTGTGTGTGTGTGTGTGTGTGTGTGTGTGTGTGTGTGTAGGCCAACTCATGAACATACATATGCATTAGGTGAGTTTTCCTTTTGGCTGCTCTTAGGCGTCTCATTTCCAATTAGCAGAGTTTTCCAAGCGCAACGACTGGCCAGCGTCTAGTTAGCAACGGCTATGGCTATGGCTATGGCAATGTTCTTCATCTCGCATACGATTCACCACTAAAAATTGAACTTGCGGGTCGAAAAACTTGTTATTCTAACAGTGAATTTTACTGGGTTGATCATGTGTGTGCGTACACACACACACACACACAGCCATACACAGACATGCTTGGCGTGCTTGTTGCAAAGCCAAACATGAAAATTGCATGCTGCTGCGTCTGTTGTTGCTGCAACAAAAGCTCCATCAGCCCCATGGCCAGAAAGCCGTGCACCCTAATCTTCATTGGCAACAATGTCGACGCAACTGGAAGCAACGGTATTTGATATACACCGACACACTCACACACACATACACCTACATACCTACCTGGCTGACTGGCTAGCTACCTGCCTACACCAATAACAATTTTCACCAAAAAATCTAAACCGGCTTTCTTCTTTAAAATCCCATTTCCTCTGCAGTTAAATTTAATTCAATGCGTTTGCTTAGTTAGTTTATTATACCCTGAACCCATTGAAAATGGGAAATCAGGGTATAATGGTTTTGTGAAAAAGTATGTAACGGGCAGAAGGAGGCGTGGCAGACCCCACAAAGTATATATATTCTTGATCAGCGCGATGAGCTGAGTCGATATAGCCCTGTCCGTCTGTCCGTCCGTCCGTCCGTCCGTCCGTCCGTCCGTCCGTCCGTCCGTCCGTATGAGTGCGTCGATCTCAGAAGTTATAAGAGCTAGAGAGCTGAAATTTGGCATGCATACTCGTGTGTACCATACGCAGTACGAGTTTGCTTTATTTTTTCGATAAATCATCCGATAACTTTTTTATCGAGAATAATCGAAAAATTGATTTTGTTTTTTTAGCCTAATTTGAACACTTTTAGACCTGGAGTCTTCAAATTTGCGTTGTATATAAAGTTAATGGATACAAAGATTTTGTCATTTACAGATTTTGGATACCACGCCCCCTTCGCCCCCAATTTGTAAAAAACGCATTTAAAGTACTAGAGACTTGTGCTTTGGAATGTACACACATATTCACCATATGAATACGCTCTGAAAGTTTTATTAAGATCCTATGTTTACAAAAGAAATTATTCAACAAATAAATTCTCATAATATTGCTCACACTGCAGCGCAGCCCAAGCGCAGTCGCTGCTTACTGCGCAGTTAGCAGAGCGCAGGCTTATGCGTGCGTGTGAATGCATGTGTATGTATGTGTGCATAAAAGAAGTGCAGAATGATTAGAATATCAGCTTAGAGGGTTCAGGGTATCTCCTAGTCGAGCAGTCTCGACTGGAGCCTTCTTACTTGTTTTATTTTATTTTTTTTTTCTCCTCCATTCTTTCTTTTTCTATTTGGATCTCCAAAGTCCCACTTTTGATATCCAAACATTATAATTGGGAACAATAAAAACAAACCATATAAACTGAACTGTATCGCCGAGTGAAGTCTGAATAGATATGCAAATAGCCTTTTATTGCACACATTAAACTTTACTCGAGCAGCGAGAGAGTAAGAGAGCGAGAGACCGGGAGAGTAGAAGAGTGGGAGAGAGAGAGAGAGACAGATACGAATTGGTATGCTGAGATTCACTTGTTCAATTTCACCAACACTTAAATACGTGGTCATCTGTCTCTGGCGTTGCTTCTCATTCATTTCGAATGCTTAGAAAACCCACACAGTAATGAGGTCAATTTGTATACCCTATGGACAGCAGTGATGTGTGGAAGAAGGGGTATATATTCGATTATGTATGGAGTCTATAGAGCTAAGCTCATATTTTATTATTATCATTATTATTATTATCGTTATTGTTACAGATTTTATTACTATCCCACTCTATTTCTTTTCTATTACTACTTCCTGTCTATAATCCATTTTACTGTTAACCCCGTATTCATACACAATCTGTTTTCTGCTTTCCCAAATTTCCCACATTAAATTTTTACTAATTAGAAGTTATTAAATTTCCAAACATTAAGTTTCGCACACGTTTCTTATGACACATCTCATAATATTACTGCGAGAAATCTAATTAGAGAATGCTAAGCTAATTGGATGTATGTAACATACTTAACGGTAATATGCCCTTCGGGTTTCCTAAGATATTTAATAATATATTATCTGAAGTTTTCTTTTGAAGTCGAGCGAAAATTATATTTAATGAGTACAGGGTATTGTTGTCAGTAGTAATAGATTCTGACTGAGAGATACCATCGAAAGAGACTTGGCTATAAAGAAAAAAGTCATGCGAATGTATTATTATATTCTTAAGTAGAATACAGAAAATTGCAATATGAATATGAAGATCTTGAATCGATTAGCCTATATATTTATATATACCTATATATAATCAACTGTGCAACCACCCCGAGTTAAATTCCCCAACTAACCAAAACTAACTAAATATTTGCACAACTTTATAATTTAGCCTATTTACCCACTTCAATGCGCTAACAAATAGACTTTACGGAATGTTTGGTAAGGTGCGTGATGTCATTTAACAGTTCAAGCAATCCACACAATCCAAAATCAATATAGCCAAAAGAAGAAAAAACAAGAAAAGAAATGAAAAAGAAAAAAAAAACCCGTTGAAAGAACTTTCTCTCTATTCTGCATGCTGCGAGGTCGGCCAATTTCATTGATTCAACGAGCGGCGAGCGACGAGCGACTCGGCCTGGCCCGACTCGATTATTTGTGTCATGCAGTAGTCGAAATTTTCAATAGGCGTTTATCACAGCGAATCTTGGATTCGTAACGGTGCATACGCTTTGTATACACATAGAAATACATGTAAGGCATTTGAGTCTATCTGCCGATTTGATAATCTAAAGCTTCTTAACAACATCTAACTGGATGTTGGCTGCATGCGTGAGTGTATATGTGTGTGCGTGTGTGTGTGCGTTTGTCATAGATGTATTTGACACACTTATTAGCTGGTCTGTTTCCCTAGGTGTTAGCAGTCAATTATATAGCTAATTTATGATCGAATTGTGTGCCAAGAAATTGGCCAGCCTAAAACTCCGTTAAGTTTACCTAGATTTGTTTACCTTCTAACGAAATTTCCAATGATGCATATAGAATGATTATGTCAATAGAAAGAAGTCAAAGAAATTATAATTCTGAGCAGATGACTCAAGATGCATAAATATGAAAGGTTAGTTAAGTTTTCTGGGGCAGAGATTACAGAGAATGATGACATAAAGAGGTTAAAATAACAAACGTCTATATTTATACTAAATATTTCCATAAATATATACAGTTCATTAAAATAGTATTGTTGCATTTCGCAAATTTATATCCAATGAAACGGTATTTTTTCCGTTCGAGCGATAAATGTTTGTGATCTTGTTTAGTTACGAATGCAAAAAGAGAATTACGAAATACCGTTCATTTCATTTGAATGCATTGAAAATGTATATATGAAAAAATTATAATAAAAATATGTAACAGTAAATTTAGTTAATTTTCTTATATTTTACTACCTCCTCATCTAGCATAAACTATCCTATCCTATCCTAAATTATCCTATAACTCTCCTGTGTGTCTTAAATTTGAGTGCCATCCAGTCAACTCTTCGCCCAATTATAGTTGCAATATTTATACCTAATATACATCAAAATCAAAGCATAGAAAGCATCTGCTTTATTTAAATCGCAAATTTCGTATACCTTTCATCATCAATATTTAATGAACTGAAATTAACACTCAAATGACATCTGAGATACAAATTTTATCCACTAAAACTTTCTATAATAATTGCTGATAATAAATTTACAAATTTCTAAACAAAATCTAAGAAAACTGTCAAAAATAATAAAAATCGTTTTCTAACAACTTCTCTCACTACGAAAATAATCGTTAGCAATAAATTACAAATTTCTAAAATGAATTTTTAATTAAAAAAAAAAACTGTCAATGAAATAAATGATTTTCTAACAAGTTACAAAATAATAGAAATGATTTTCCAACAACTTCTCGCATTATCCATAAATATCTAAAGAACTTTAATGGACAAACAGAATTATAGATTATAGATTCTTTTTCTCACATTGCTGGGTAGAGCTAATTGCTGGTTATCTAACTAGCTGTTCATCGGCGTCAGCGAGGGCCCAGGCAACTGTTACAAAATCGAATCGTCTGCTATAACTGGATAGCGCTACCGTTCATTATGTTTTTGACGGATGTTGGATGTTGTTTGAAAATCGCATTGCTGCAATGTGTGTTTTATGTGCTGCTTTTTAGCTGCGATCTCAGGCGCGCAGCTCGAAGTGCCGCTTTTTTCCCATTGCAGTCTTACAGAATCTTTCTTTGCACACTAGTCTGGTCCGTCTCCTCCTATGAGGTACGACGATCGACGCCCTCCTCCGTTTGTCGCGGCTGTTCGAATAAACCGGTTAACATGTTTTTTGTGATTTTTCTTAGTCATTCCTCAGTAAAGTGTAATGGTTTTTTTTTTTTGTTCTTCTTATTCTTAAGCTGGGCCAGTAAGGGTAATGGTTTTTGTGTTTTTTTTTTTCTGTTTTCATGTTTTATGTTTTGTGGAAGCTCTTAATTTACATAGAAATATGAATGTATACACGCATGTCTTATGGGCCGACAAAAGGTGTATTAAGATTTTATTGTTTTACGTTGATATGAAATAAAAGTCATTAAGTTAATTATTAACTATATTAATGATCGTTTCCTTGAGAGATATGCTTCAACTATTATCATTAATTAAACATTGCACGACTTACCTTATGTATTGAAATAGTTTTCTCTTTTCTGTTTCCTTTTCAGCTATTTTTATTTTATTATATCATAGATCTCATAATCCTCTTATTGCAACTTGATGAACTTGGCAAAACTTTTACAACCGGGATCACAACTAATTTTTTCAACACTTCTTCAACTCGGTTGAAAGCCGACCTTATCCACTCGATGGCTAACGCAGAACTAAAGATTTTCCTGCCCTCGACTCGCTTGTTATAAAAGTTAGATAAAAAACCAAAAAGAAAAAAATTCTGCAGACGCAACTTGAGCCGAGCTGCTGCTGCTGCTACTGGTGCTCCCCAAGAGAGCTGTGGGAGCTGGGCCCACAACATCTGCAATCACGGAGCGCCTGAATATAAGAGAATTTTCTGAGAGAGCGCCTAAGAGCACTTCTTGGTGCAGAAAGTGTGAGATCTCGATGGCCGAAGAAATTGTTTACCAACCCGAACCCTCCACGACTCGCGTCTGGTTCGAACGAAATCTCTCCACAGTGCAACTCAAACGTGTTTGGGTTCTACCTGACCAACCAGCAAGGCTTAAGAAAGAGAGAGAGAGAGAGAGAGTGCACACGACTTTTCGGAAGCGGTCAATGTACGATGTTGAATGTACACCTGTTTGATGTTCGCTCTCCCCCCTCACTTTCTCACTCCTGGCCCATCTTTCACTCTCTTTCTCCTCAGTCGGCGTGTTTAGTAATTTATATCACCACCTTCCTGGACTAACACATATTTTTAGGTGTCTCTTTACAGTCAACGGCAATGCGTGATCAATGTGCATGTGTGTGTGTACATTGTAATGTAACTCAATTACCGTTGTATAATTTATAACAATAATGCTAACAGTAATTTTGCGTAGAGATGAGCAATGCTATTATTTGCATACTCTGCATTTATCCCATTAGAAAATTAAACTTGCGAAAACGGGTGCACCAGGAAGAAAATAGTATTATTATATATGTATATATTCATAACATGCTCCAATGCCGACTTATCGTCGGTCATTAAGAATATTTTCCTTTTGTAACATCACTAGATGAATTTTGCAAAAAATTTATATATTTAAACAAATTATGAAATTAAAAATCTGAAAAAGTCAAAGCGATAAAAGCAATCAATTCAAAGCCCCCGCGTAGTTTCATAGCAGTTAGCTTTTTCGCGGACATCGATTTTTGACAGCTGCTACAAAACTGATGCCTGAAGTATCAAGTGTTGGTAAGTGCAATCGACTATGGAAAATATTAAGTAATTTAAGCGAAATCCAACTGCTTCATTCGCGAACAATTAATTCATCATCTTATTCAGCTTGGAAACTATGTAATTATGCAGCTCATGCTTTGAATTGGTTCAACAAATTGTTTTATAAATTATCGATAAATACCCGCTCTATGTTATGCAGTGTTGTACAGCAATTCATTCATTTAGGGTCTAGGAATTGGAGTAAGTTGGCAAATGTTGAATTTAGAGTTAAGCTGGTTTTTAGTTGAAATTCGTTCCCTGAATTAGTGACAATTCATATGGTTTTAATATATTAGTTGCGTGTTGTACAAAAACGCATTAAATTGCATAATACAGTAATTTATTGCCTTACTAACACCACCGTTTCTGAGAAAAATAAATGCTTGCTGTTATTAACAGTCGCGGGACTGTTAGGGCATTGTCGCTGTATATATATATGTTAGTTATTTATTTTCACATTCTTTGCAGGTTAACTTTGTTGTTTGGCACAAATTTTACTTAATTACAATGGGAAAACGTCGCACTCAGTCTCTAATCGACTCAAACTCGAGCGATAGCGATAGCGACGCGGATACCAACTTAGAATCGGTAAGTAATGCGCATAAAATGACAAACGACGCCTCCGTCAAATTCGCACCATGTAACAAATCAATGCGCAGATTATATTGTACAAATCTATATTTATTTTGCACGTAGGACTTGTTGTCACTAGCCAGAAAGAGAAAGAAGCCAAGCAATGCCACAAAAGCCTCAAACTCAAAATCCGATTCAGATTCGGACTGGGCAAACAATAAATCGAGCGCCCCAGCCTCGAAGAAGAAGCGCTCAAAGAAGACCAGCCGAGACTCGAGCTCGTCCGAGGAGAATTGGGACGAGGACAGTCACGATGAGGCCCCAGCGCCAGCAGAGAAACGTATCGAACCCGAACAAAAAAAAACCGACGTTCAAAGTGAGCACGAAGAGGGGGAGGTCTCTGACAGCGACTCAGAGAATGACAAATCCAAATCGAAATCAACGTCATCGTCGGGCTCTGCCAGTGGCTCCGACTCATCTAGTTCATCGTCGTCGAGCTCCGATTCTGAGTTTGATGACGGCTACGACGATGATTTGATGGGTGATGAGGAGGACCGCAAGCGCCTCAATGGCTTGTCTGAAAAAGAGCGTGAAACAGAGATCTTCAAGCGCATCGAGCAGCGCGATCTTATGCGCACCCGGTGGGAGATCGAGAGGAAGTTGAAGCTCGCCCGTCGGAGCGAGAACGAGAAATCAAAAACAAAAGGGGATCGTGCCAAAAAGAAGTCCAAGAAGGACAAGCGCAACAAGAAGGCAAAGGACTTGGCGCCACCGGTGCCCGCATCAACTGCCGCAGACCTGGATGCCAGCAAAATTAGTGCATTAGAGGCGCGTGCTTCGGCCAAAAGTCCCTCACCTATGCCCTCGATTCGCGAGGGCCCCTCGACATCGGGATCTGTGTCGGGGGCCACCAGCAGCAGTGCCGAGAAGAGTTCCGAAGAGCAAAATGCCAACAATGTAGCTGACTATTTCGATCACAAAGAGCGGTCCAAGGAGCGTAAGAAGAACGTGGAGGCGAACAAAACTGACGACAAGCGCAGCAATGCGATGGCCATGCTCAAAGCCAAGCGAGAGGGAAAAGCTAAGAGAGGTGAGTACAAAATCATAATGAATATATAATATGACTAAATTCGAATTTGCAGAGGAGGAGGAAGCGAAGCGACTGGCCGAACGTGACAGAGATGATGACAAAGAGGAACTGGAGAGTGTGTCTGGCTGCAAATCGGCAGTCAAACTGAAAGCGTCTGAGATCTATTCCGATGACTCAGGCAGCAGCGACTGGGATGACGAAGAGAAGCCGGCGGGCAAGCGCTCTCGTTCAAACAGCAGCAAAGCGTCCAGCGACTCTGAAGACGACGAAAAGGCCGCAAAGAGTCCCGTGTTCATAACGACCCGAGAGGATCTGAACAAGCTGCGATTGTCTCGCTTCAAAATGGAGCGCTTCGTCAATCTGCCCATATTTGAGTGCACCGTGGTCAACTGCTTTGTGCGCATCAGCATCGGCAACAATGGCCAGAAGCCCGTCTATCGAGTAGCGGAGATCGTTGGCGTCGTGGAGACGGGCAAAATATACACGCTTGGAACGACGCGCACCAATCGGGGACTGCGTCTCAAGCACGGCACTCAGGAGCGCGTTTTCCGTTTGGAGTTTATATCCAATCAGGAGTTCACTGAAACCGAGTTTAACAAATGGTACGAGGTCTGCCAGCAGCAGCATGTGCCCATGCCGACGATGGATTTGATCGAGATTAAGCAAAACGATATTAAGAAGGCGCTTAACTACGAGTTCAAGGACGAGGATGTGGACAAGATCGTCGAGGAGAAGAATCGCTTCCGTAATCGACCCACCAACTATGCCATGAAGAAGACCTGCCTCATGAAGGAGCGCGACGCAGCTATGCTGCGCGGCGACTACGACATTGCCAACGAGCTGGGCCAGCAGATCGATCAGCTGGAGAGCCGCGCCTCCGAGCTGGACAAACGTCGCTCGCACAGTCTCAATTTGATTTCGTACATCAACGATCGCAATCGCAAGCGGAATGTGCAGGATGCCGAGAAGGCCATCATGGAGGAGGCGCGTGCCAACAAGGGCATGAAGATATCAGATCCATTCACGCGGCGCATTACTCAGCCGCGCATGGGCTTCAAGGGTGCCAAAAAGGATGAGGACGAGGTGCTGCCCGCCCCGCTGCCACCACCGCCGCCTGGCAAAAAGAAACCGAATGAAACGAGCACATCCAATGCGAAGCCAGGCGATGGCAAGGACTACAGTTTATACTCGCTACACGACTTTGACATAGACCTAGATGTACCGCTGCCAGGTAAGCTGACAACATCCGTTTAATTAGCTTGACTCTCACTAAATAATTCGCCTTCCAATTGCAGTGAATAGCACGAATGCTCTGCCCAAGCCGGCGAGCAAGCCAACCGAGACGGTGTCCAAGCGTTCACTGAACCTGGAAGATTACAAAAAGAAGCGCGGCCTCATCTAGCTGCACCGTTCAATTAATGACGTTCTTTACTTAGGTTAGTGCTGTTACGACTAATTAAACGTAATCGATTATTGTGACGATTGATTGAGGAGGAAAGTTTTGTTAACGCTCTACTCCCCCCCCGGCAGTGCGCAACTGAATCACCTATAGGCATAGTTTACGAATTGTATTGTATGTTTACGAATATATGTATATCGCTATGTACTGATATATAGAGAGCATCATTCATAAACTTTTTCATTCAGGGTTCGTATCGTATATATATATAGGACGAAATTACACGAAATCGCACAGAGCTCAAATGCGTTTGCATTCCAAAATGAAAGTCGAAGTCGAAGTTGGCAGTGAAGCCACCCGTCCCCAGTTGTGAGTTCTGCGTCTGCGATCTGTGTAACGACCATTGTTTATTTATTATTAACGATAGCAATTGTTGTCTTTGGTTGTTTGTCACTGTCTGTGTGAATAAATATAGTTTGTGAACGACAATTAGCTAAAGTAAAACGTAAACGAAACTCATTTAACAGCTATATTTATTGTATGATTACGATTAAGTCATAGGATCTGATATGTATATCCCCCATTTAAATATATATACATATATGTATATGATAAGTTCAACAATGTATTTATGGCCCGAAATCCCATATATTTAGTAAATTAAGTACTATTTTTAAATTTTGCCTAATTCCGATAAAAATTTGACCATGCTCCGCACACGTCTAATGCGTCGGTTGTAAGCACTTAGCACTGTACTTATTTTAATTGAAATCAGTTATTGTAGTCGAGTTTACAAATAAAATACCAACCATACTCAACAAAAATTTCAACATCTATCCGAAAATATATAAAAATGTAATTGCCCAACTGTACCAGAGTGAAAATAGGAATGGGATTGGGATTGGGAAGGGGATGATCGTAAATGGACCTCTATATAGCGCCACATCGCAACGCATCGCATCACATCGCAGCGGGTTAAGTCTTGTGGACGCCTCTTTTCGTTTTTAATTGGTTTGCAGTTTGTTTGCGCAGCTGTTTGGAGCCCCAGCATGTCCACGTCTAATTTAATTAATTCGATCAAATTGTCTTTTAATTGAACGCGATCGCATTTCAGATGTTTCGCGTGGAGTTCGACTGAGCTACATCAAGTTGTTAAAGGTCACGCTCGATTCGTATCGAGAGTCATCATCATCATGTGCATGTACATGTGTCTACGTATGTATATCTATGTGGCCTGAATGGACAACACCAATTTAGGAGATACATAGAGTGCGGAATCTTTATGAAAATATTTACTTAATAATCAGCAGAAATCGCTCTCAAATATTTTACAATTTTGTTTATTTATAATTGAAATTTGGCCAAGTCTTATCGTATTATACTCTAGGCATGTGGAATACGCTGGAGTAGGCTGGTGTTGCGAATAGGTAGAGGAAAAATTCTTCGATACAGTGAATCAGCATTATTAATCGAGTAGGGTTGGTCTCTTCGTCTCCCTAAAATCATGGAGATCTTATTATTATTGATTGTATATTTATATATATTTATAAATATATTTAATAGTTACACATTTTCTAGTGCTTCATGAAATCGATCATAAATTATAATATTAAACACTCTTCATTTTTTAAGTATTTTAATATTTTTAATGATATTTTAACTAGCTCATTGTTATAAGAAATAAATAAAAATAAAATAATATATGTATATTTCATTTATTACATTTTATATACACACAAAATTAATGAATATAATATAATATAATAGATGCAGATAAATTATATGAAATATAATACAAAAATAAATAAAATAATAAAATAAAAATACTAATGATATTAAAAAATGTAAAATGGTATTTATTGATAAATAAAAATAAAAAATTAAAAAAAATTAAATTAAATTAAAGAAATAAATAAATAAAATATATATATCTATATAATATACATACATAGCTATTACCTTTCAGTTTCAGTGTAATGAAGATCTTGGAATGATGTCTATAATAAAATTAAAAGTGCTTTATTTAGTCATCCTAAAATTAAAAAAAAAAAAAAAAACATAATCACATATAAGTATTTAAATTAAAAGTTCTATATACATTAAAAGTTCTGTTTAACTGAGATAACACAATCTTCTGAAGATCTAAAGGGGGTTGCATGGCATTTCAGAGATTTATTTACTATGATGCAACCGTGCTATACATACGTTCGTAAATGAATGTATTTTTATGGCTGCACTTCCGGTAAAAGTTTGTTATTATAATTGAAATCTTTGCATTTGGTTCACAGTTCTAACGAGGGGGAGCTTCTCGAGGGGGCTTAAGTGCCGGACTGTGAATGTGAATGTGAATGAGAGTATGAATGTGTGTGTCTGATCCGATGACAATGTGGATGTGGCCGGCGGCGACTACATCTATGCATATGTATGTATATTGTGGCACAATGACATTTTATCTCATAATATGCAACAGGAGCACGTTCTTTCAAGCGGCAAACGTAATAGATCAGCAGCAGCATCTGAAACAGAATCAAAATCCGATTCAGAATGCTGAACAAACTAGCGATGCATGGCACATGCAAATGGACATGCTTTGGCGAGGGCGTGCAGAACGCTCCGTTGCATTCTATAGATATTTTATATGCTATATAAGTATGTACATATACATATATACACACGCTATACGTATATGCTACTTTATATGTATATTTATGTACTGTTAAATGTGCTCCAAACTGGCACACAATGCGTTGCTGAACATTGGAAGACAGCTAATCAGCCGGCATCCCAAAAAGAAAGAGCAAGTGACTTTCTGAGCTGTCTTCATCGTCGCCTCTGTCACTGTCACTGTCTCTGCCTCTGTCGTTGCCTCTGTCGCTGTCGCTGCCGCTGCCTCGGCCTCAGCCTCTGTCGTCGTCGCCAAAGCCAGGCGCAAGTGTTCGTCAGACTCCCATCGGTTGCTCAAGCGTTCAGTTGAGCTCGGGATTTCCAACGCATCGGAACAGTAAATCTCGTGACACGCGCCCAAGTGGAATTCGCTTCGATTAGCCGTTGAGAGATTTGAAATCGCTACGTCTAATTCAATTACAAATCTCAGCTCAGTGTGTGCAACATGTGTGTTCCCATCAAGATGATGACGATGATGTTGATGCTGCTGCTGCTGCCCCTCCTCGGCCAGTGCGAACTGAACTTTAACAATGATCTTGAGAATAATCAAAAATTTAAAAGCGTTCCAACTACCATCAAAAGCTACGAGAACGAAACTGTGCTATTGCCCTGCTATTTGGATAGTAAGCCAATTTAATAAAAATAATAATTATAATCAATCAGAAATATATATATAGCATAATTATACGTATTAGTTAGCCAATATAATGGGCCTTGAAAGTGCTCCTTTGTGCAGGCAATTGGCGACAACAATAACATTTAATTTGTCGCTGTCTAAATTGAGTTTCTTAAGCATTGTGAATGAATTCACAAAAGACAGCAAAGGAAATTCGTTCATCACAATGCATTTTCTACATCTCTTTTTTCTATAATAGACAAACAAAACGGGATTTGGTTAATTTTGCAATTTACTTCAGATGTTCTTGAAAAGTTGTTTACAAGTTCCTCAGATGGTTTCACATATAAAATGTCAGCTTAGAAATGCTTGCAGAAAAAATATATATCAGAGGCTATATGTTTATATTTATATTTTATAGCTAGACATTTAAAAGTAATTTTTATAAATAAAAGGAAACTTGAATGTGCAGTACTGATCCAATAAGCATTGAAGATTTAACGAACTGAAATTAGTCTTCATGAAGACTGATTGCGTTCAGAATATGATCTGCAGGCATCTAAGAACAAAATGACCTATTTATATTTAGTAAATGAAAATGATATGATATTAAATGTAGCGCTCATTTGATAAATGAAAATATAAATGAATTGCAATATTTTCAATACAACCAAGGCGCATTTATAAAAATATATATTATTTAATAAATAAATCTGAAAATATATATAAAAATAAATATATAAAATAATATGATATAATATAACATATAATATAAGGTATATCAAGATGGATCAGATGAATTGAAATTTCCAAACAAGAACAAGATTTTCCCAAGGTTTTTAATATGCCGAATCTAATGTTGAAGCTGGAATAACCCAGGTCAGTTTAGGTTACAAATATACCTTAGAAGCGTGCGAATGCATAAGCCGAAATACATATGGAACACAAATACTCTAACACCAGAAAGAGAGAGAAAAGAAAAAAAATATTTTATTTATATTTTGAGAATATACATTTAATTATAATAATACGAAAAACCTTCTCCTATAGCGCCCTTTCACTATGTACGCTGGCACAGGGACGATGTGCAGTTGGTTGACTCACGTCACCCGGAGATTCCGCCACCGGAACGGATTGTGCTCTGGTCCAATGGCAGTTTGCAGGTGTCAAACTTGAAGTCGGAGGACACGGGCAACTACTACTGCGAGATCATGTCGAACAGCAATCATGCCGTCCAGGCGCATGCGATCGAGGTGCAGTACGAGCCCAGCGTTGCCATGGAGCCAAGCGGAGTGCTGGAGCTGCCCATTGGCACCACCTTTGAGGTGGTGTGCTTGGCCAACGGTGTGCCGCAGCCGGCGATCAGCTGGCGGCTGAATGGCAACACGCTGGACCAGTACAGCAATACGGGCAACCGGCAGAGTCACATCTTTGAGATCAAGTCGAGGGCGATGTCGGGGCTGATCGAGTGCCTAGCGGCCAACGGAGTGGGTCAGCCGGCGGTGGCGGGCGTGCAGCTGCGGGTCTTGTGTAGGTGTTGCCATGAGGCGAAACACGAGAGAGAGAAGCATTAGTAAGAGCCATTCATCTACTTCCAGTTGCTCCGGAGCTGACGCTGCCACAGCCTGTGGTCTATACCAAGGTCGGCGATCGGGCCCAGCTGGAGTGCATTGTGGAGGCGGCGCCTGTGGCAAAGCTGCAGTGGTTCCACTACGGCGTGCCCGTTCAAACTGGCTCCCACATCAGCAGCCACGAGACGGAGCTGTCATCCAGCAGCCATGCCCTGGACAACTACGTGAGTCTGGTCAAGCACGTGCTAATCATCAAGAAGGTGCGCGACGCCGACATGGGCCAGTACGAGTGCCGTGCAACCAACTCGATTGGCTTCAAGAGCACCACGGTCGAGCTGACCGGACGACCCATGCCCTGCGTCTTCAAAATCAATCCCGGCACGCAGAGCTCCACGTCGCATGTGTTGGTCTGGCAGACGGAGAGCTTGCTACCCATTATGGAATTCAAGCTCAAGTTTCGACAGATTCCATCGGGTAAGTGAAATTCCCATTAGTTACATTAGTTTCAGTCTATTTATAGCCTTCATTTCTTTCAAACAGCAAATATAACAAGGCCCATTCGCACAAACTGGACCGAACTGACGATTCCAGCACAAATGACCATTGGTAAGCCTAGTCTCTTATATCTAGTCATCATTTTATTTGCATAGTCTCCATATAGGTCCCATTTACATAACCTCGTACACATTGCATGGACTGCAGCCGGCCAGTCTGTACGAGGTTTCAGTGCTGGCGCGGAATAGCTTTGGCTGGAGCGACAACAGCAAGACGGTGCGATTTGCCACAGGTGGCGAAGGTAGTTACTGCCTTATCACTATAGTATTATATATGTATATTCTAATACATTTCTTATTCTAATTTAAGTTGAGCTGCCCAACTATTCAACGGAATCGGAGCTGCAGTACGATGCAACCGAGGAGAGCTTTGAGAACGAGATTACGCAGAGATCACAGGTCTTTACAGCCAGCATGGTGCATAATGCGGCCACAGGTTCTGGCTGCAGTGAACTGCTATATCTAGCGATATTTATACAGATTTGTCTCGCTATGCTCTACACATAAATTAAGTATATCAAAATATAACTGTACTGAATTCCATGTTCCAATAAAATAAATAATAAATATATCTAACTTATTCTTAAACAGCTCATTCCTGGTTGTGTGGCGGATAGACTATGACTTCCAGATTTATCTCTTCAGGTTCAGCTTCGGTTGAGATGCACCACAGGGCATCAAAGACGATCAATTGCAAAAGTCCCGAGCCCGCGGCACAGTCTTCGAATGTTATAGGCGGCAGCTCTCGTTTGATGTGTGAGCCGTAAATCTTCAGCAATCTGTTGTTCAGGCCAATTAGGGAAATTGGCTTGTCCAGATGCTCCTCGAAGCTCCACATTGTATTTAGAATCTGGGGCAACTTATTCACATACTCCATCAGCAGCAGAACAGCATTCATATTCTTGGTTCTATTGCCAGAGCACAGCCTGCACAGCTGATCCCCGTACGTGGTCTTCGTGTATATCTCGTGCTCCACACGCATCAGGATCCGCACACAGGCGGAGCAGAACATGTTCTGCAAGGTGATCTGCAGGTCATAGATGTCGTAGAGCGTCGGTGGCATCACATGGCCACTCGCCTCCAGCAGCATCGTTATGGCTGGCACACCGAGTCGATTCGTATCACAGGCAATGGCCACAATGTTTTCTAGATTATTGTCCTTAACTGTTCCCAATACGTAGCTCAGCGCTTTGGCAATGTTCTCTGTTGTAATGAGCTGAAGAAGAATATGTTGTTAAGGTAATTAATAAAAAAAAACGTGAACTTACCGTCGTCTGCAGCTCAGCATTATCCGCACTCAAGCTGGTTATGTTCTCAGTCGTGATGAGCTAATTACAATTAAATAAAGTACAATTAAATAAGGTATGCTTGAGCAGTTAATGTTTAGCTCACGGGCCATTCAAACTCCTCCGCCTGCTCATCCCAGCTGCGCAGTTTGGCCAGACTTCTTGCATAGCACAGCTTATGCTCTTGCCCACAAGTCCGAGATATGAAAATAACAAAGATCTGTACAAAATTGAGTCTTTTATATGTTTGCAATCGACATTAGCTCATTGAGCTCACCTTATGAATGTATGGCTCTTGTCGCACTAGAAACTCATCCATATTCAGCATGTACGTCTTGCTGCGGTCGATGCGACTGAGTACATCTGGATGGAAGTATTCCAGTCCTTCGCCATCCTCTGTTCGTCGTACACGATCGAGTCGCCATCGAACTTTATTGGACAAGAACTCAAACTCTGTCGGATCGAACATTTTTATTTCGGCAAAGTCGTCCATTTGCAAGCGAGCTCCAAACTTTGCAATGGACGATCTTCTTTGTCGGATCGACGACTGGCTGTCTTGCTGTCGGGCAGCCAACAGGCGGCCAAAGCGCTCCTGCTTTAATCCATCCGTATTTTTTGCTCGAGCGTACAATTCACGTTCCAGATCCAGCGAGCTGAACTCGCTTAAAGGCACTTCCATGATTCAAGATGTAAACAAAGAATCGCGCAGTGCTAGTTCAGTGCTGAAAATGTTGCGAAATTGACAGTGTTGCAAATTTTTGCCAATTCTCAATATATCGATATACTGAAGATTGCAGTGGGCAAAGAAAAGTATCGCTTATTTAAATATGGCCAATAACGGCCTTCGAATAACGAGCTTTTGATTTTTATAATGTATCCATATTATCAATTACATATTTACAATTTTTATTACCATTTTATTTATTTCTTTAAAACTTATTTAAGGTATTTAAAAATATCTATTTATGTAATGATAAAAAAGTGTCCCAATAAATAAATTATTAATCAATCGACTAATTTCTTTTTAAATTTGCAGTGAAGTCATCTGATGAATAAAAAACGTATACTACATTTTATTTAGTCACTAAGAGTGATGATGAAATCTACGTAGTTTTCCGTTATGACTGCATTTATAACAATGTGATAAGGCAAAATTAAAAAGTGATGCCAGCTCATATAGTAGCCATAATTTGTATAAACAAAAATAAGATATGATCGTACAGGAAACCAAATACTAAGTCATATATACTAATTTAATTTATTTGTTTAGGCCTGAACTCTCAAGTATTATTAATAAATAAAGTATCCGCCATGAGCTCCAAAGTGTTGCATATGTGTAATGCTAAAGTGAATATTCCCTCATGCTCAGCTAGTGGGTATTTATTCAGTGTAGGGCTTCCAATCAGTGCAAAACCAACAACAGTTGACACTGACATTGTCAGCATCTTCTCTGGACCCACGCTCACTCAGTTCGATTATCTCTCTCGCTCAGATATATTTGGCGCCATTCGAGGAACGCGGAAAAGATAAAATTTTTGTTTACCTGCCCCAGCGGCAGCGACAACAACAGCAGCCACAAGAGAGCCGTTCCATTCCACTTGTACCAGCTTGCTTGTGGCTCCCAAAACGGCATCCAAGCACGCGCTGAAAAGTAAATGTCTGTCAGTTCTCGCTCGAAAAGCATCGCGACGGGTACGCAAAGAGCGCGTAGCGCACAGCTGAAAATACTATTTACTCCTATCAATACTACCATTAAGTACTTGAAAACTTCAATTTGTTTTGTGCGCGAACACACACACACACTCATATACATGTATGTGTGGTGTTTGTGTTTATAGTCGTATTTAACGTGGGCCAGAGCCAGAGCTTTTTTACGCCAGATATCTGAAACAAATTTAACCAAATTAAACGAAGACAAAAAGGGGCACAAGTTCGTCACGAAGTTGAGCGAAAGCGTTGCAAGTGCAAGTGCTACCAACTGGAAGAGCATCTGTGCACGGGCATTACCTGGTCGTAAATCAAAATTGCTCGTACAATATGTCGTCGCCTCCAGTTGGTTGCCTTTTGTAACGCTTTAGCCGAATATTTGTTGTTGTAGTCGTTGTTTGTGTTTGTGTTGTTGCGCCTTCTTCATCTCTCCAATTCTCTCACTCTCTTGCCACTGCTCGCGTTGCTCGCATCTCAACGACCAGTCGCAGGCGAACGCAAAACCTGTTTCTCTTGCTGTAAATGGCACAGGCATAGGCACAGGCACTTCACTTTATCCATTCTTTACCTGGCCCTGGCCGCCGCGGCGACGGTGGCAGTTGCAGCTGCCCCAAAGTCAAAGAGCTACTCCATGGACGCTGTGATTCATAATGACAAAAAATGTTGCCACTGAAAGCCTTAAAGCAATTGCGGCATTGCCAAAGCGCATTCGAATTGTGGTCCCCAATGCATTTTGGCACTCGCAATTATCAACACAAAAAAAACAACAACAATAGCGAAAACAAAATCAACAACACGTCGTCGTCAGGCTTGTGCAATATGCAAATACAAATGCAAATGCAAATGCATTGGCCGCGCATTCTATAAATATGTGAAAAATGTAAAAAATACTCGATGCAGTCGCTGCAGCCGCGGCAGCCGATGTCGTCTGTCGCCGCTGTTTGCCGGCAAGCCCAGCCGAATGCGGCGAGAGGCAAACGAAAGCGAAATGACGGCACCGAAAGTTGTTCGAGAAAGGAAATGGAAATTGGAATATGGGCGAATGGAAAGGGGAATGGCGGCTGCTGTAGGGCACCAGGAGCAGCTGCCACAGATGGGGGAAAGAGATGGAGATGGAGAGAGAGATGGAGTAAAGGAGTACAAAAAGCGAACAGAAAACATCGATTGCTTTTATTTACAGTACGAAAAGTTTTCAATTCCATTTGCAAGGCGCGCATTTCTGTTTTCAGTTCCCGCTTTCAGTTTTGATTCCCATTCCAAAAAATCGTTGTAATAGCAAACGGAGCACAGCTGCAGCTGCTACACAAACGTACACAGACGCACGCACGCATACAAGTGCATCTCTGCTGCTGCTGTGTGTGTGTGTGTGTGTAAACTTGGAGCGCAATGTAAATAAACAAACGCCAAAAAGACCAAAAACAAGACAAGCAAGCAAGATTGGTAAGGCCTCGCCTTAAGACGCAGAAGTACGACAGAGAGAGAGAGAAAGAGAGAGAGAGCATGTGAGTGAATGAGTGATTGAGTAAGTGAGTGAAGGAGCGAGGGAGCGAGAGCTGCTTGGCGAGTACTTGAGTTAGACATTCTGAGTGCCAAAGCTTTGCGAATGCCAAAGTTTTTCCCATTTGTCTTACGTGACTTCAATTCAAGACTTGTTTATTTTTTAGACAAGATTTTAGCTTGCCATAATTAAAATATAAATTAAACTAAATATTGATTGAAATGAAAAACACAATTTTGATTTATCATACAATTTATGATGCCTGGTTCAAGATCTAAAACATAATTCAGTAGCATATCAAAAAGGGCTTAAAAGTATATTGATTTTCCTTGAGTTTTTCCATTCGGTTAAATTTAAAATGTCATATGCACTTATCGACCCTCGCAAGAATCGAAAGTCCAACTGCCTGAAGACTGACTGCACGTTTACCATTGATAAAAATAAATGAAAAGCGTCATTCTTGATAACCGTACTTTCTAACTGCAGATTGTGTATCACATGATGGGCAGGGCAAGCGCTCTAAATGAATTTTCTATGGTTGAAACCATTTTTGTTCTGTTAAGATTCCAAATAGTAAGCCTCTCAATACTTTCAAATTTTTCCCTGAATATAACAAAAAAGCACTTAAGCAAATAGCACTCATAGGAACTCGAAGCTAACGTTCATCCGCCAATTGTTCGCCTATGCGAAGGGTAAATATGTGAATAGAAAAATGAATATTTGGTATTCGTTAGCTGCTTTTAGCAAATGCAACAAACTAAAAGCTGATTGCGAAGTGTTGCAAATACATATAGTATATCTATATTTATATATATGTATACCATATGCAAACATGCTGCTGCATATATGTGTGTGTGTGTGTTTGTGTCTGTATATTCAACTGTTTATTTGGATGTTTGCATCAGCATACGCTAACAGAGAGAATCCATTGGCATTGTCAGTGCAGATGAGATACAATCAGGAAATTATAATGCTGCACAAAATGAATAATTACTCAGATTGATTAGTATCAAATATTATGACTAATATTGCAATTATTTGTCAATTAGCTTTGTTTATTTTGAAGTGTTTCTGCTGTTGGAAAGGGTGTCGAGGCTTCGTTATGCTCACAATCGGGTTTTTTCCTTGTTATTTTTCGTTTTTGAGCTTTTCGCATTTGCACATTAATTTATTTATATGCATACATATTTGCATGCTTTTCAACTTGGCATACCCCCCCTGCCACGCCCAGCCCAAACACCACATCGACCCGACACGACCCACTTTTGCAGCGGTTTGGCATTGAGCGCGCCACAGGAGAGACGGAGAGAGGGATTAAGAGCGCGAGAGAGGCAGACAGGCAGTCAGGCGCTGCGGCGAATTAGTGAGCAGAGCGAATTCTAATTTTCGCACTGAGATCATAATATCAGTGAGTCTCGCCGCCGCGCCGCTCTGCAGCGCTTGCATAATCGTCAAGGCGAATATTAAAAGCCATGTTTACCGTTCAGCTGTCAATCAGCTTCCACTGGAAGCTGCGATTTCTAGCGCACAGCTGCGAATTCCAGCTTAAGCAACTCGGGCTATAGGTTAAGGTTTTTGTTTTTGTTTTCGTTTTATTTTTTCATTCTTCATTCTGGTATTTTTTTTTCTCGTCCGATTTCGACTGCAATATTTGCGCGCGCGCGCGCGTTTTTCTTTGATTTTGGCTTTAGCCAATTTTTGAGCTTCCGGTGAACACGACGCGATACGTATACGAAAACAAATAGAAGAATTTCGTTGGCTTTGCGGTGCCCGATTGGGCCGACAATTGATTGTTGTAGCAATTTAGTGGCAAATTAATTAAATCGACTTCCAACAAACATATTAATTGCAGTTAACAATCTACCTCCGATAGCGCACCAAACTCGAAAGCAAATACAAATTTTAATAGTGCGTGAGCTGCCAAAACAGTAAAACAGAAAAACAAAAGAAAAACACAAAAAAAAAAGCTGAAAGTGATAACAATGAGAGGAGCTACGACGTGGATGTTACTCATTTGTCTGCTAATTGGACAATTTTATGGCGGTAAGTCTCTACGGCATTGGCATGTCGAATGATATGTACCAAAGATATGAATTGGATTTATTTAATTAACACTTAAACCCTAGAGAACGTCGTGCGAGTAACGCCCCTTAAATAGATGGATTTATAGGCCATATAAAGTGTGATTTGTTAAGTAATAAATTCTAAAAAATAAAGTTCGATATAGGAAAAACTTTAACTAAACTTAACTAGATATTGGCTTAAGCTTAAAGCTAATAGAACTGGATTTTATTAAGGAAAATGTTGACATGGTATTTTTTTAGTAAATTTAACAAACCCAAAGCTAATTGCATTAGAATTTATTATTTTTGAATACTTTTGGGGAAAGTTTCGCTAACTGTTTATGGCCATAAAATATAAGTAAAATATTTTACAATGATTAATTTACACAGGTATTTCAGATGTTGCTCAGCTCGAGGCGTTGTCAATGGGCTTTACGTGTGCGTTAAAATTATG